CCCACTCCCTGCTGGCACAGCTTTGACTTCAGGACCGAGGCCGCTCACACTGTGCCCTGGCAGGTCCAACACCTCAGCACAGAGGCTCTGAGGTTGCATTTCCCTCCTCCTGATGAACAAGGAAAAGGGCTGCTCAGGTCACTCCTTGCACTCACCAAGGCAGCAGCATGAAGAGGAGGAAGATGCAGGGATGATGGCATCTCTTACTGAATTCCCCTAACAAGAAGCATTCTGGTCGCAGTGGTACCCACAAATGGTTTCAGTAATACTTTTCACCATGCTGTCTGAAGAAATTCTAGTTACCTCAAAGACACAGCACAGGTCACACACCAACAGCAAGTTCATCTGACAACAGTGACTGGCAAAGTTCAACTCTGCAATCACCAATTCTGTTGCATGCTAAATATGAATGATAGGTGACCTACTGAAACGCCTCCTGGAAGCTCTTTTCTGTCAGGTAAAGAAAGGTACAGGGCAGAGCTTCCTCATACTTGTGCAGAAACTTATCTCCCAACTCTGATACTGCACTGAATAGCATCCACAGGTGACAGCAGGAGTCTAGTCTCTCAGGCAACAACCCCTCTGCTATCTCCCTGTCCAGGATTCTTGCTACATATTCACACAGGAGACTGTCTAACCAGATATCACAACTCTCCAATTCTTGCTAAATCCCAAAAGGTTATGGCTGGGGTGCAGGCAGGGGAGTAGAAGGGGCAAAGGATGGGACAGAGAAACAGATGTGAAGGGAACTGAGAATCCCAAATTCCCAGCCCATCCAATGTCTGAACTGTTTGTGTAAAATCTGAAAAGATGTAAACAGTATGTATGCTTGGTTTTAGAAAGACACCAGAGTATTATAAGCAGTAAGTGCTTGGAAAAGTCCTGGTTAGCCTCCAGGGTCCTTGGAAGCTGAATGCAAGAGCCAAATATACAACAGCCAGTTACAAGTGTTTTCTAACTCTTGCTTGGCTCTGGAGGTATGATGACTGACTCCTCAGCTCCCAATTAGAATTAAAATTCTCTCTATGCCTTTGAATTAATTAAATTTCATATGCTAATTCTTCAAAGGATAGTTTCCTACATAACGTCAGCAGTAAAGACTGTTACTAATGCTGTCAATAACAGAAATGCAAAATTCCTCAAATTACTGTTTTGGTTTTTAAAATCACTGTCTTTGGTTTTTAAAATCACTCTCAAAGTTCAATATCTTACTTCCCACGGAACCTCTGTTTTGTCCAAAAAACAACCAGAACAAAAGGAAAGAAAAGGAAAAAAAAAAAAAAAAGGAAAAAAGAAAAGTAAGGAAAATAAAATAACGAAGTAACACCTATTTTCAATACTTAAAATTTTTAAGTATTCCTTTTTAAGGATTTTTTAAGCCTCCCTTTGTCTCTTATCTGCCAACCATGCATTGAACACAGCACTACCAACCACATGTGCCAGGAACCTGCCTTTGGGAACGAATGAAGCTCCCAGGTGCCTGGGCAAGAAAGGCTAATGCAGTCAGCCAGGAGAAGACATGAGAACGAAGCTGGAAATGTAGAACACTAAGGGTGGAAAGATTTGAAGCAACCCTTTACGTGACTGCAAGGCTTGTGGGCCATCACAGCACAACAAGCCTGGTGTGAGTACGGTAATACTGAGTCCAAGAGACACCAGGCTATCTAAAGGAGCTTTACACAGAAATTCCATAGGATATTGATGCAAAACAAAATGAAACCGGGTGGTCTGCAAAGACTTTCTGATGCCCTGGATCTGTTTGCCCAGCTCCAGATATCAACATGACAGGCCTCAATTTCCAGGACAACTTCACCCTTGCATTACCACCACCGGGCCCACTACTCATCCCTACGCCCTGCTATCCTACATGACAGCAGAGACCACTTACAGCAGAGACCAGCCCTCAGATCACACAGAAAATCCCCTGCAAAAGGCTTAGAACCACAGGCCAACTTTCACATCCTCTCAGCACAACCTCCAGAAGCAGTCGCTATCCCAGAGAGCAGGTCCATGGCTCCTTCATGGCCAGCACAAGCATCGGCTGAGACCATAGCCAGTCCCACCCACCCTACAACCACTTGCTCCCATTACCTCCTTCAGAGTAGCAGTTGCACTAGCTGAGTTAAAGAACGCTTCTAGCTGAAAATTAACTCAACAAAACTCATTTTTTACTATAATTACTCCTTGTAGCTTAATGACTTCCCTGCTACACCTCATCATACTATTTAAGACAATTAGACCAACACCGACGCAGTCCTACTTCTCTCCCCACCCAGCAACACATTCCTGTGCCTTCCTTGCACCAGTGCTCACGCAACCCCATGCCGAGCAAACACTTGGCATCCAAACTAGAAAAATCTTGCTGCTTTTCTTCTGACAGATTCGTTTTGCAACAGCTCAGCTTGCAGAGATGTCGGTGTCAACAGGGAACCAGTGCTGGTGAGAGGAGGGTGGTGGGATGCCCACTGGACCTGCCCCAGGTGTGACCAGCCCGCAGAGGTAGCCCTTCCTGCCCCATACGTCTCCCCCTTTTTCCTACAGGCGGTTGCACAGCCACACGGTGATCCTGGTGGAGGACTGTCCTCAAGGGAAGGTTTTTTGCCAACTTCAGGGAATTCCCTTTACGACCACTGCAACATGCTCACCTCTGCCAGGAGGTTTTCCAGAGCCACCTAGGATCCTACATTGAGCTACTCCCAGGACACCTCAACACACATCTGTTACCTTAAGAACAACAACAAAAAAAAGCTATTTATGTAACACCAGATTTTACTGCAAACACCTGCATATCATCAAACTGGCCATTGTCTTCCTGAATTCGTGTTTAGATAGACACTTGCAAGAAAGTACAAAAGAAACAAATTGCCCTTCCTCCTCCCCTGGAGAAAGGATGCAGGTATTTCTATGTCATTGCCAACTCACACTGCAACACTGGTTCTTATGTGACGGTATGAAACCAAGCTTGCAACCCTGAAGATGCATAGAATTCAGGGGAATGATTCATGAATATGAAGAATATGGGTCACAGTGGAAAAATAGAAGGGGTAACACAAAGTTTTAACTGCACTGCAACATGGCTATTTCTGGTCTCATTATAATTGTTTTTACATATCGTGCCTTTATTTGAGTTCTTGAGCCATGCACTTCATTTAAGAGGTTTGGCACTACAGTTCTTGAAAGGTATCATGAACACGTATAGTATCACCTTTCTAGGGCCCAACAGGTACCAACTCCTTAGTTTAGCAAACACAAGACCTTCGCACAGTAGAAGCTGCAAATAGTGAAAATTTGCTGTCTAGTTCCACATACACCAAACTCTGCAGTTTATGTAATCAATTCTCCACCCAAACAGGTTCCCTGTCAGCCTCCAAGCAGTCTCTCCCGACAGGACAGAACAGATCGTAGCAAAGCGTGACAATTTTTTAGCTGAGAGCTTCCGTACTTCTTCTGTCAACACAGAGACTGTGACTTTTCCCTTCTTCTTTCTTCAAAAAAATAAAAATAAAAATAAAAAATTAAATGTTCCCAAAACAGGACTGAACAGCTTCCTTAGCATTACCATTCCTGTATTAAGTTAAAAAAATAAACACTGTGTGGCCTCAGAGTAACACAGTCTAAAATGCTGCTTAAGCAGAGAGTGATTTTCAGTGATGTAACCTTCAAGAAAAAACTCCAAAGGTATTCACTGTGGCTTTTCTGAAAAATAAATATCTACTGTTTTTGCAAGAATACTCAACCATCAGCAAGTGCAGATGGGAAGCCTGGCAGCATTACCCTAGTATAACATTCTAAATTTCCATCAGAATAAAATAACAACAAAAATTTAACCACAAGTTCGCCATTAAACTGTTTTTACTTAAACACCTGTCTCGAGAAAAACATATGAACAGACATAAAGGAACAAGAAATGCCAAGCACAAGAACCGTTCAGCGAGCAACGCCGAGGAGTCCCAGCGGGAGTCGGGTCAGAGCCATCCTCCCACGGCCACCAAGAGCCCGGCTACTGCAGCAGCACACGGGCAGCAGCGTTTGCCAAAACGTTACCCTGGCTGCCCCCTAGCCACCCCCCGTCCCGGGGCTCTACCCCGGCTCTTTAACACCAACAACGCCGCACTCCCGGGGAAAAGAGCAGCGCGTTACACGTAACTGGCACGGCGCTGCCGGGCTAGGCCCCCCACCAAAAACTTGCATTTGGGCAGAGGCTGCTGCGCGCCCCCCCTCCCCGCAGGTCACCGCCCAGGGTAGAGGCACGGGCAGGGAGGGCACAAAACGGAGCGGGCCGAAGAAATGCCGGAGCTAAAGCCCCCGGCTTTTGTCTCGCTCCTGCCTGCCCCCGGCCACCTCCCCGGCCCCGCTCCCCCCCGAGGGGCCGCCGCCTCCTGGGGCCGCGCAGGCCGAGGTCGAGCCCCGCTTCCCGGCCCCGCCGCGGCGGGCACGGCGCCGCCCTCCGCCGAGCCTCCGGCTGCGGCCTGGCGACACGCGGCACCCACGGGGCTGCAGCGGGGGGCGGCCCGGAGCGCGGCCGCGCAGAGCCCCCGGGGCAGCCCGGCGGGCGGGAGGGCTGCGCCGGGGCGGCGGCGGGCACCAGCCCCAAGCTGGCATCGAGGGGGCGGCGCGGCTCCGGGCCGGGCACGGCCGCACCCTCGGCCGGCTCGGGAGCGAGCCCCCAGCGCCGCTGCCGCGGGGTCCCAGCCCGCCCGGCCGGAATCCGGGAAGCGCAGCCCGCCCGCGCCCCGGGGGGCGGAACCCGCTCGCCCCATACCGACTGGGGCAGCGCCAAGCCGGGAGGGAGCGGCGGGGCCGCCGCCCCCGGCCTCCCCCCGCGTCCCCGGGCCCAGCGCTGCCCGCCGAGGTCGTGGGGCCCGCAGGCGGGGCCGCGCCGCGCCGCCGGGGGCAGCGGGGCCGCGGCGAGGCCTAGAGCGGGGCGCGCTGCCCGGCCCGGAAGCGGCGGCCGGGCCGCGGCCTAGCGCGGGGCTGCTCGCCCTGCTTACCCTGCTTACCCTGCATGCTGCTGACGGCCGCGTGTGCCGGCGGGCCGCCGGGGCCCGGCCCGCTCCCGCCGCCCGAGCCGGAGCCGCTGCTGGGGCTGGGAGTCGCCATTGTGTGCGCCAGAGACGGAGCGGCGCGGAGGCTGCAATGCAGCAGGGACCCTCCCAGGCAGGACACCTAGAGCCCCGACGCCGTATAGCAGGCGCCGGAGCCTCCCCGTCCGCCGTCCGCCCCCGGGCTGGGGCTCCCGCTTAACCCCTCCCAGGCGGGGCACCCGCAGCGGCCGCCCAGGCTCTGCGCTGCGGGCTCGGGCGGCTGCCGGGGCCGGGGTGCCCCGCGGCTGCCTCCGCCTGCGGGGCCGGGGTCTGCCGCCCCCGGCCCGTTCCCCGCGGCCGGGCCCTCCGCTCGTCGCCGCCGCCGGGCCCTTGCTCCGCACGGCCGGGGGGCGCTCGGCGATGCCTCTTGCACGCCCCCCTTCTGCGCCCCGCTCTGCCTTCCGCCCCCCGCGGGTGGCAGCGCCCGGCCTGCGGTGTGGGTCTCCAGGAGGCCCCTGCCCCATCTCCAGCATCCTGCTCTGCATCCCTTCTGCTTTCTCTGGCAGTGAAGCATTGCCCGCTCCCTTTGCCGTAAGCCCCTTTGGGGCCACTGTGTTTTTTTCAGGAGCCCTGTGCCGTGCTGTGGTCCCAACGTGATGGCACGTCCCACTGTTTGACCGCAATGGCCTCCTTGACCAGGGGTACCCAAATGTCATATTTCCCATCTTCCTGCCTCAATGAGGCCCCCTGAGGGATGGCAGTTTGTCCAACCAATTTGGTAACATTTCTCGTCTTCACCCATGAGTAGCGCTTGCACAAGCAGCTACTTGCAAATTTGTCTTTTCATTTCTTACCTGAAACATCTTCCCTAACCACTGCAGAGTGTAACTTCCTCCTGTGTTTTCCAGAATAGCCAGGGCATCAACCCCTTTTACCACCGCCATTATCATCATCATCATTTTATTTCCTCCATTAGGTACTGTTTGTTCCAGCACATTGCCTCTGCCTGGTTTCTGATCCTACCTCTAGCTCCAGCAAACTTACAGCCTTAGGGACAGCACATGACAGGGACTAGAGGAGTGAAATGGGTCTAAAGGGATGTGGACTCTCTTTCTAGCCCACCACATATTGTGGAGGAGACTCTTCACGTACAACAGTCCTTGTGTCCTTATCAGTATCACAGAAATAATTCTGACCTCCTTTATGAATTGAGATCCACTGATGAAAGAGCTGGTTCTGACCACCTCCTATTTCTGCTCTGTCCTCCATCTGCTGCAAGGACAGCAGAGTCTGCTTCCTCCTCGCCACAGATACCACTTCTCTTCACCTGGGCAAATGCTTGAGTGCACACCTCATGCACTCAGGTCCAAATCCAAGTGACCTGTTTGCTGGGTTTGATCTTAGGCTGCAACCCTTTGCCGTCCTACCTGGCAGCTGCTTCCTCTGAAGCCATCACTCGCTCTTTCAAAGCTGCATGTACAGTCTGTCCCCTCCACTGCTTTGGAGGGATAGGAGTGGGAAGCACTTACACCCAGAGCTGCCCACAGGAACTGGTCTTCCTAAACACAGTTTGCTTGGGTACAGCTGGTGGCAATGGTCAGTAATGGCCCTCAGCCAAATTTGCAACAGAGGTCACAGACCCCACTGCATACAGCAGCACAAACACTCACCTCCAGGGAAAGGTGTGCCCTTATCCTCTTCTCCATTATTCTCAGAGGGAACACCTTAACTCTGGCAGAGTAGTATCCCAGCCCTATACCTCTGCCTACCCAATGTCAGGGAACACCTAGGAGGAGTTGCAGGAGTTGAGCTTAATGCAGCGTGAGGGCAATGGCCTCAGCAGCAAGGGCCCAGACCTCGGCAAGGCAAGCAGGGCAGGTCCTGTGACGGTAACCGGATTCAGCCAAGACACCAGACTACTAGGCAAGACTACCATGACGAGGCAGATTTAAGGATAAACTGGGAAGTCAATTTCACAGATCAAGGTCTGGCTCAGTGAGGACATGGGAAGGCATGGACATGGCAGCAATGCAGCTGCAACATGGATCAGGTGGGGCCCAAAGTAAAAACCTTGGCTAAAAGAAACACAGAATCACAGAATCATCTAGGTTGGAAGACACCTCCAAGATCACCTAGTCCAACCTCTGGCCTAACACTAACCAGTCCTCCACTAAACCATATCACTAAGCTCTACATCTAAACGTCTTTTAAAGACCTCCAAGGATGGACTCAACCACTTCCCTGGTAGCCCATTCCAATGCCTAATAGACTAATCCCCACCTCACTACAGCCTCTTTTAAGGTACCCGTAGAGCATGATAAGGTTGCCCCTGAGCCTCCTCTTCTCCAGGCTGAACAAGCCCAGCTCCCTCAGCCGCTCCTCATAAGCCATTCTCCAGACCCCTCACCAGCTTCGTCGCCCTTCTCTGGACTCACTCAAGCACCTCGATGTCCTTCTTGTAGCAAGGGGCCCAAAACTGAACACAGTACTCGAGGTGCAGCCTCACCAGAGCTGAACACAGGGGGACAGTCACTTCCCTAGACCTGCTGGCCACACTGCTTCTTATACAAGCCAGGATGCTGTTGACTTTCTTGGCCACCTGAGCACACTGCTGGCTCATATTCAGCTGACTGTCCACCATCACTCCCAGGTCCTTCTCTGCCTGGCAGCTCTCCAACCACTCATCTCCCAGCCTGTAGCTCTTGGGGTTGTTGCACCCCAGGTGCAGGACCCGGCACTTGGCCTTGTTAAACTTCATGTAGTTGACCTCAGCCCATCGGTGCAGCCTATCCAGATCCTCCTGCAGAGCCTTCCTACCCTCGAGCAGATCAACACACGCACCTAACTTGGTGTCATGTGCAAACTTACTGAGGGTGCACTCGATCCTCTCATCCAGATCATCGATAAAGATATTAAAGAGGACTGACCCTAGTACTGAGCCCTGGGGGACTCCACTAATGACCGGCCTCCAACTGGATTTGACTCCATTCACCACAACTCTTTGGGCCCGGCTACCCAGCCATTTTTTAACCCAACGAAGCGTTGGGTTAACAGCACCTCAAACAGTGAGCTCAAAGGATGCAGGAAAGGTCTCTCCACTCTACTGTGAACCCCTTCAAATATAAGCCCATGGGGACCCAGGCTGTGACTGTGCACAACCTGTAAGACTCTGAGCAAGGGATGTCATGTGGGAATGGGGTAGGTGTTGCTGCCTAAACATGAGCCAGAAGCCAGGCCTTGCTCTGATAAAAGAAGAAAAGCGGTTGCTATATCAATTTCCTCTCCTGTTTTTTTTTAATTGTGACTCACTGAAAATAAACATGGTGAAGCACTTTAAAATAACCTTTAATTATCCCTCAAGCATTTCTGTTGCACAGTTTAGCCAAGGCACTGTGATTCTGCCCATTTTGCTTTCCCAAAGTCTTTTACTCATGAGCCCAGAGAGCTTTTCTTTCAGCCTTCCCTCCAATAATCCAAGCCAATGAGCAGCCAGTTTCTTGAGGAGAATGCTGTGAGAAACGGTGTCAAAAGCTTTACTGAAATCAAGGTAGACCACATCCACAGCCTTTCCCTCATCCACAAAGTGCGTCAGTTTATCATAGAAGGAGATCAGGTTCGTCAAGCAGGACCTGCCTTCCATAAACCCATGCTGACTGGACCTGATCACCTGGTTGCCCTGCAAGTGCCAGATGATGACACTCAAGATAATCTGCTCCACGAGCTTCCCTGGCACTTTCCTGGGAAAAAGAGAAGACCCCCACCAGAGGCTTCTTTCAGCATTGTTTCAAAGTGCTCTAAGGCCAGATGATATTTCTTAAACAGCTTGCTTTTGTCACCAGAGTAGCCTTAAATGCAGAGTTACATGCTTAAGAGGGGCATATGCAGTCCAGCCCCTGGTGCTGAGACATCTTCCCCTAATTGTACTACCTTTCTTTCTCTTTCCCCTCCTGCTTAACTTTCCTCTTCTGCCCTAGTAAGAGTTCAAGACCAAAGCTGACATCTTACAAGCCACAATAAAGAAACATAGTGCCTACTGGCAAACACTGTCAGAAGCTGACACCTGGCTTCCATCTCTACTTCATGCCACCTGCATGTGGTACAGTTAGGTAAAATCATACTGTTTATCTTATTTTGCCCTGCAGATTTGAGAGGATCAACAACACCTGTCCTGACAGATGTTTGGGATAACTGTTCTTAAAGACCTCCAGTGATGGAGATTGCACCACCCCCAGCAATCTGTTATGGCATGCTACTGTCCCAGCATAACATTATCTGAAAGCCTAACTTAAGCTTTTTTTGTCTGAGCTAAAATCCCTTATATCCCTTCCTGTTCTCTACAGCCATGCAAGACAAGTAATTCCCTTCTTTGAAATGACCTCTTAGGCACATATTTCCCTTCCCTTCATTCAGGCTTTCTCTACATACTGCACCAACCCAATTCTTTCAGCCTTTCTTCATGTTTTCTGTGCCTCCCAGCATCCTCACTGCCCTCCTTTGACCTTCTACTGTTGACTCACCTTTTTTTTTTTTTTTTTTCAAATATAGTGTACCTAGCTAGACACATTACTCCAGCTTATCCTGCTTATACACTCCAGGGTGGCATTTGCCTTTTCCGTTAGTGGTGTCGATTGTGTGACAAAAACACCAAAAATCCTGTTTTGAAAAGACTCTAACTCCAGAGAAGAGCAAGGTCTGGGGGGACATAAACAGAGGACTGAATCCAGCCTGAGGCCTGCACCTGTCCCACACCAGGAGGCCCACTGTGCCCACTGTGCCCAGCAACGAGGGAAGGTGACTGACGGGGTCAGGACTGGTGTAATGATGCAATTGGAGGTGTTTGTGCGGTGTTTTGTTGCAAACTGTATATAAGCTGAGCCAAATTTTAATGGTTACCTCTCCTTTCCCTAATGGAGGAGCAATCTCATGATCACAATTAAACTTTATTGAAACCTTTGTAAATCTGCCCTTGGATCCTGTTTCCTCCTCAGCAATGAAACATCCCAAGTGAGCTTTGTGACAAGTGACATCTCTGGTGCAGGTTCTTGGGCAGCAACATGGCTCTCCCAGTATCACAGCTTGGTTGTTGGGTCCATCCCTCCAGCACTCTCATCTGAAAACTTCTGTCCTTTAGATATGGGGTTCCCTAACTAAAGATTAGCTGAAGTTTCTGCCAAGCAGACTCCAAAGAGGCATAAGGATGTTTCATCTAATAAGAATGATTCATCTAATATTGAGGAACGAATTTTCAATTAGCTCAAATTATATTCAAGGATACTAAATGCTCTTGGCCTCCCTCTTATGGGAGAAAGACGTATTACTGGAGGCTCCCTTCAGGCAGAGATAAGTCTCTTCTGCCTGCGGAGGTGGGGGGAGTTCTAGTGGCTTGTCATTGTAGCTAAAGCTTTAAAGTGAACAAGCCTCAATTTATTTTTTGCAGTAAATACACAAACCACTAGAAATCCGTTACATTTCTAAAATACAAACTACAGCACGATTGCTTTTGAATTAGAGCAGCAAAGAATAAAACAGATTGAGATGAAACAGTTTGCAAGTTGATCCCCTCTTCCCTACCCTATCAAGAGAAGGATCTTTTGCCTTCTGTTGCTCATGTCACTGAACTTTGCTAGCTTACAGGGACACCTCCATGCAGACCCTTCCAAGTGCTCAGGAGATGCTGCTATCTGCCAGCTCAGCAGCCCCTTCCCTCTCTGCCCCCCTTTCTTCTTGATGGTCTTGCCCGTGGCAGTGAGGCAGCACAGCTGAGCTGATCTCAGACCTCACTGTTACTTGATAAGGAGACAGAGGTCTTGGCCTACCCCAGCCCACTCCATGCACCAGCCTGACTCTGCCTGGCTCGCTGTTTCTCTGCCCTCCACCCTGTCTCCCTGCCTTTCTCTCACAGCTGCTCTCCAGAAGCCACCGTCTCCTCTCTGCACTCAAGCCCAGCAGCTACAAAACGGCAAGCAGCAGTTCTCCACCTGGCTCAGCCATGGCCCATCGATCAGGTGGGCTATAAAGGTTGTGGGAATATAAATGTTGTTTTTGAAGAGTTACATTGTATAGAAGGAAGGAATATGGCAGACGACCTTGTAAAATGCAGACAACCAGACTCCTTAGGACAATTAGGTAAAAATCACGGTGTTAAGTCAAGTCAGATAAGTGAAGAAACATTACCACTTCAAACAGTAAAAATGGCAAAAGGAAATTGAAATTTAACAGGCCAGCTACTGAAGGCCATGCATTGTTTGTGAAGCATCAGATAGATTGTGAACCTGGATTACCCACTCAGTGAGGAAACAGGGGAGGGTCCTGTCATCAAAAAGTATATAAACTGTGTTTTGGAACTAGTAGAGGCGCTCTCTCCTGCTTGTGGAGCGCCAGCCATTGCAATCGTGAATAAATTACTACTTCACTGAGATCCTCGCCTGAGCCTAAGTTATTGGCTACGGAGTGTTTCTCACAAGGTGTGTGCAGTAACTTGTAACAGGACAAAGGAATCAGTCAGAGTTCATCACAGCTGAGATTTCTTTTTGCAAGACCAGCTAATATGGTTGGAGGAAATGGACAGAAATTCACACCTTTTTTTCCCACCTGAAAAGAGTGGTGTGCCTGAAAACCATCTCTACCTTTATTTTTCTATCATATAAATTGCTCTAACAAAAGACATACTCTGTCTTATATTAATCTCTCTTATTCTTACTAACACCACTATAATTTCTTATCCAGCTAAAAGGCCTTGACATTTCTGTTTTCTAGCCTGATACACCTTCTTTCCATTAGGTGAGGGGAATGGACTGAAGATCTGGAGGCAGAGGTTGCACCACAAAGAAAATCATGACCACATGCCTTCTGGTGAAGTCTCGTGTCCTTAAAAAGATGAACCAGTCATACAGTGTAGTTCCTGGTGCCTCACCAAGGGAATGCAGCTACCTGGGGACCTACTGAAAAATTGCAGGGACATTTTGCCTGTTGCTCTTGCAAATCCACACTTCAAGCTGGGTTTGGTAAGAGGAGAACAAAATATACGTATCCTGTTGGATTGTAGTCCTCCAGCTTTTCTAAGCATTGGTACTCCTTTCCCAGAATGCTTAATAGGAAAGTTTTAAGGGCACCAGTAGAGAGCAGTTTAATTTTTCTGAGCTTCAGGATGGGAGTGTGAATCAATTTAAATATTTAGAGGGATTTAGTTATATTGGACATGGCCCACTGTTATGCCTGCAGCTGCCAGCAATTGTCTAATATACAGAATAACACAATTATTATGAGCCATAAAGCCTACTCAGTGGAGCTGTAACAATGGCAGCCATTTACAAAGAGGGCTCTTACTTCTCTGACATTCTCCACAGTAATTTCATTTCTCATAACCCGCTCAAGGGAAGAGATGGTTACAAATAACAGGACAAGGTGAACATTAATTCCCTCCACAAATGTATTCATGTGTCTTCCACATAACAGTTCAGTGAGAACTAATTCTGCGTGGGGCTGAATGCTGCTACTGAAACCAGTGGGAGAAATAATCTGGCAGATACTCAGCTTTGGTAGATGGACACAGTAGATATATTTCTTAAGAATCCCCTTTCATTTTGTAAATAATTGTCACTTTGGGTGATAAATGATCAGGAAATGATGAGGAAGTACTGTTTTTTCTGAGTATATCCCTTTTGTTGTCCAGACAATACAAAAAGACTGGATGTCTTCTTAAATATAAAATGAATCCTAGACTATAGGGTCGTTACAAAAACAGTGATTTAAATCCCAATCTCCTGGCTGGAAAAAAAAAAAAAAAAGCCTCCTTTTATCCCTCACTTGCTATTCCTCTCGTATACCCGTGGTTCTTCAAGATCATCAAATTTCCAATCTGTGATACCTAGAGCTGTCTCCGTTCATGGCTTTTGGAAAAGACAAGATGCCTGTGAGAAGCTCACTGGGAATGACATCCTTCTCTTCTGTGATGCCAGCTGTCAGCAGGCTTAGTTATTTCTACAGTAGCCAAAAAAAAAATAAAAAAAAAATCCTGTTTCAGATACCTGCCACCAAGATTAATATACGTGAATCTTTCTTCCCAGTAGGCTCTGCAGGCAAACACAGACGTGGCTGTGGCTGAGCCAGAGATGGGCATAGCTACAGCATAGCTCAGGCAGGGACTGCAGGGCTGCAGGGCCCCTCTTGAAGGATTTATGCTTTTGCATAGCTACTTAGAAGTCTTACTGTATAGGTTTTTCATGTTTATTTCATGGGGCGAAGATCTAATTTTCTTCCATATACGAGTTTTTCAGAAACATGGCCGTGATGGTGTGAAGGAATGTCTGAACATCTCTAGCCCAACATGTCACTTGAAGCAGGATTATCACCAACAGCAGATCAGGGGAGCAAGCCTCAGAAACCTCCAAAGCCAGAGATTGCACAGCCTGTCTGGCGACCTGTGGCAGGCTGCACGACCCTCCTGGTGGGGACAGAGGTCAACACCTTCCAAGCCCAACCACTTGTGCCCCCTGCCCTTTGGTATATCATCTGACTCTCGCGAGCAGAGAACGCCCCCGCACCTCTCCTCTGGCCGTCCCCTTAGGGCGGCCGCAGCCAGCCCAGCGGGCGGGCCCGGGGCGGTGAACGCGCGGCTTCAGCGGCCGTCCGTCTGCAAGCGGTAGGCGGAGGCTGGCGCCGGTCATGGCGCGCGGTAGCTTGGCGGGGCGGCTGTGGCAGCTTTGCAACCTGTTTATGGCCACTTTCTTCGGGCTGGCGGCTGCCGTGCAGGTGAGGGCAGTGGGCGAGGGCCTGGGGCTGCCCTAGGCCTCGGTGGGCCCGGGCACTGGTGCGACCCGAGGCAGGCTGGGGTCCCCACACTCTGCTCCCTGCCCTGTCCCGCCTGCCGAGCCCGGCCCAGCCCGCACAGAGGGTGCAGAGGCTCAGCCTGCGTTTTCTCGCTGCAGGTGAACGACCCCGACGCCGGGCTGTGGGTGGTGAGTAGGGGCTGGAGCGTGACGCAGGGCGGAAGGTAGGTGCTGTGCTCTGCGGGGCTGTCTGCTTGGGGTTGAGGCTCTGCCCCCAGCGTGCAGAGCACCAAACCTCTGATTCCCCCCTGCCTGGGCTCTAGGCCTCCTGACCTTGTCACCACCAGGTCTCCGTCATCACCTGTGCTTGCCTTAGCTCACCTTCTGTCACCACTGACCTCAGCAGGGACCCTTGAGTCTCAGAAGAAACCTAAAGAAAATTCGCACCTCTCTGCCCACTCCTGTCATTCTCAGGCATGGGAACAGCCACCAGTGGCCTTGGATCAGTATGAGCAAGGCTTTGAGCTGCAGGGGCCCGGGGGGGTCTCTCTGTACTGTCAGGAGCCACTGGGTAGGTGGGGATAGTCCCTGTCTTCTCCATGTCCATGCACGGCCGGTACATCCCTTGTGCAGATGAGCCCAGCTGATAGTGGCGGGGTTGGGATGTGGCAGCAGAGGCTGCTTCTGCTCCCACCCAGCACAGGCAGAGGTCATGGCGCAGGGGAATGTTTCTTACAGGGACTCTCCCTGGGGACCACACTGCAGCTCAGGGCTGGTGCAGCGGGCTGATTGGGCAGCAAGAGCTTAGGTAAGCCTGAAGCCAAGGCACAAGGACTGGTGCTCAGCTGACTGTCTCACAGCTGTGCTGTGCAAGGATTTGGGTGGTGAGTAAGGAAGCGCTGGCTTGCTGCTGCACTCAGAAGAGCACTAGCAGTACCAGGGCATGCCAGAGGGACAGAGTTGTATGGCTGTTCTGTGCATCTGGCAAACTGCTGTAGAAAAGAAGTGCTGGTATGGGTGACTGCTTCTGTTTCCTTACCCTCAAAAATTTTGCTGTTGAGTATACTTGTGTTTCATTAACAGGTTATCTACTTGGTGCCAGCTGCTCTTACACTGCTTGTTGGCCTTAACCCCTCAGTAACAGGTATAGTATTGGTGTGTAAAACAGAATCTCTACTCAAATTTTGCCTCCAGAAAGTTTGTTTTCATTGAGTCACGGATTAAGATCAGGCTGCATGGAAACATGTCCTACTGCATTTTTTGAGGGCAGAAAGCTGTGGTACCTGCTTCTACAAAAGTTGGTCTTTGCTTTAGTACTTGTAGTTGAACTTGCTGCAAGCAAACCCAGGAGGCCTGCATAAAGGCCTGCTTCTTCGACTGCACCCTGGTTTAAGCAGTCATGGAATAAGTGGAGCACATAGAGCACAAGTCTGGGAGCACGTTCTGAACCTGTCTCTGATGTTGACCCTAGCACATAGTCTAATCAACATGGCTTTCCTGTTCTAAAGCTGTGTTTTTGCTTATCTATCTCATATAAAAGAAATTAAGCTCAGCGCAATGGTTTGAAAGAGCTAAAGGTCTTGTTTAGTATCACGCATTAGCTGTAATACAGCTGCTCCAAAGAGAGGAAGGGCAGTGGTGGGGACTTGCAGTCCATGCTATGACTGACTTTCCAACATTGCATGCTGAGGGCTAACACCATATGATATGTTGAAAGAACTGGTCAGATCAGATTTGGTCCAGGACTCCAGAAAATTCATTTGTGTGTGCGTTTTAATCCATTGGAGATAATTTTAAAATGACCACTCTTGATATACAAAAAGTGACTGTGTTTTAGCTGGGTGAATACTTAATCTGGACAAACTAAAACCATACTTATACCAGAAAGGAAAATCCTCAAGAGTACATGTTATTGTCACAAACCACACTCTTACACTATCTCACCATTCTAGGTACCTTAGGCACACAAAGTGGCAGCATTCATAAAACCAAAACCCATCTATGATGTTGAATATTTCAGAGGAGGTCTATTTGTATGGTAGGTGTAGCCTCAACATAATGGCATTTGGCTGATCAAGAGAATCTGCAAATTAAACTTACAAATTTGTTACTTGCACCATGATTTCTAAGAAATAAATATTAAAATAGCACAATTGTGTAATTTGACATTTATGTAAATTTGACAAGTGATATTTATCATTCATGTCCATGGAAGATTCCGATTCAGCCTCTGCAGAGATGCAGTAAGTTCAGTTTACTGTAGGATCAGTTACGAAGTTAGGTCATACCAAGTTCATGAATTTTGGCAGCCCATCATCTTTAATGCTTTCCTGGAGAGGTCAATGACTAGGAAAGGCTACTTTTTACTTTGTGGTGTTTGCTGTTGACATTGTTGGGAACAGATGAAGCACTGCCTGTATCATTTGCTCACCTCTCTGCCATGAGCTCTTGGGGATGAACATGGTAAACCATAAAAATCTGTGGGTCCGTTCAGATTTTTCACATCTCTTTTTCTGTCTTTAAAACATCAGTCCCCAGCCCACAGGCAGAGATGTCAATGTTTGTCGTGATCACTGGTGAAAGGTTAGATAGAGGCTTATCAGGGAATGTGAAGGACGGAGCTCCCTGCATTGTGGTGGTAGCTCACTGGTGCTGCTAAGGGTTGGGAATCACTCCCTGGTGCCTTGGATCCTCTGGGAACGTGGTTTGCACTCGAGAAGGGGCATTCCTTTTGCTTAAGCAAACTTCCATTTGTAATCTGCCATGTCATCTTCTGTGCATATTGAATGCTGGAGCCTGCTTTGTTTGCTAGTGTGATTAAGAAACTGTTTTCTTTGATGCACTGCTGCCAAGAGGTTTCATTCCTAGGAAAACAAGACCCAAGCCCACTAGCATACAATTCCAACAGCACTTTCTAGAAGGTTTCCCTGGTCATAAAGATGCTGGTATTAATTCTGTCTTCCTACCTGAGATGTATGTGCTTGTTGCAGGTATCTGTTTTTCAGCAGCTCAGTTGTTTTTCAGTTCACTTCAAACTATGCTGCAGTTCCTGCCAGCCTATTTTTTTTCCTCAGAAAACGCGGTTTGGAGAAGTCTCTGTGACCTTCATTCTGCTGGTTGTATTTTTGGAACCATTGCCTTGGCTTGTTCTTTGGTTGCGTACACTCAGGGCAACATTTTGCATGAAGAGGAAGGCAGGTATGTAGTGAATTTTCCCTGCACAAATTTGGTGTGCCAGGCCATCTTCTTCTGGTGGGTCACTTTGATAAGCTCAACTGAGCTGTTGCAATGATGGTGTCAGTCCAGGGGAATCAACCTAAGGAGAAAGGATCACAGAGTTACAAAACAGCAATTTGTTGGACAAAAGAACTGAAAGGTGAATCCTACCCGACTGAGGTAGCAAGATTTAATTGTGGGGGCAGTTCTGGCTTTTCAAAGACACAAAGGGAGACAGCCCGTACTTCATCTATTTTTTTTGGAGGAAAGTTGTATTTTTCACAAGCAAGCAGGTGTTTGCATTATTTTCTGATCTCTCTCTTTTTTTTTTTTTTTTAAGAGAGTTATGTGGTCTGGTGATTATTACAATATGGATGAGTCTTTGTCGCAGTTCAGCAAAGTAAGTTTTTCTTAATCCACTTGAACATTCATATTTAGTGACTTCTTGAAAACATGTAGGTGATTTTGGCTGCTTGTTTTTCTATTTCATATTACTGTCTAAACCTTTATCCTGAGTACAGTAGTATTTGGTGCTGTGGCGTGTAGGATCCTGCACAGGTAGAAGTCTGAAGGGGGATGGGGGCGTGGTGGAAAAGAAAGCTTAACAAAACATTTTTTCCTGATGTTTCTGCCATAGTGGGCAGGAGACATAATCCATTTTTGTAAAAGGACAGCATGTTCTTTCTGTGAAACAGGCTAGTGAACATGAGCTAATGAAACTGCCAGTGAAAGCTGCAAAACCGTTTCTGCTCCCAATTTACAGAACTTTCCAGTGGGGGTTTGTATACCATGGTCTGCTGTATACTCCCAGTCCAGGCAGGGATGCAGGCAGAGCTTTCTCCACTGAGCTCTATGGAGAACTGTGCTACAGCAGTTTTACGAAAGTAATTCCTGTTGGGAGCGTGAAAAATCTCAATCTGCCAAACAGTGCTTTGTGCTGGCAAAATGTATACTGTGCTCTGGGCAGAGTGCTTTTTTTCACCTGGTTTATATAGTCGGAGAAAGTGGCAGAAAAACTTTCTGCTGGCACATGGTACATCTCCAGTGAAGGGCTCTATGGGACTCTGCTGACGCAACTACAGTAGCTACGTTACAGCAGCCAAAGGCCCTCTGCTGTCTTTAGCCAACCACAGCAACATGAGTGGTGGCAGTCAGATTTTAAATAGCACCGTTGCATTTGCTTCATTTTAGGAATCCATTGGGTGGAATTCATCTGACTGCTGCAGTCTTGGTTGTTCTCTTCCCCTTTGTTTCGTGGCTGTACATTTATATAAACAAAGAGATACGAGAATCTTGGCCAACACACTGTAAAACTGTGATTTAATCAGGTGGGAAAATGTACATAAATATTCTGACCTTAGTGCCTCTGCTTTTTGGTTCTTAATGAAAGGTTAGTATCAGTTTGATAGGACCCAGGAATGCCTTGCTGCTTCTGACAGTATAGCTTAGTGTTTGTCAATAGGCACCAGAAATAAATGGAAGAACATCATCAATTATTGTAATTATTGTTCAACCTGCTTCTTCATGTTTTCAAAGCACTGTTGACCTAATATGTGTTCCAATGTTAATTATTCAAAATATTCTGGTCCCTGGTCCACGCTCTCCTCCCATGTTGTACTTTGGGAAAGCTACTGTTCAGTAACATAAGGGAAAAGTATACCAATCCCTTTGTTTCAATGACTTTTTACAGCTGTAAAACTTCCAAGTTATCCATCTGGATAGTCCACTGAGATTCTCTGAAAGATTAAGCAGTCTGTATTTCTGTTCCTACACTAAAATCTTATGTGTAAAATCAATATATCTAAATCAATGTTTTTATTATCTTTATTTGTGATTATTGTTTTGACAGAGTAGTAAATCATATTTTTCTAAAGAAAATCCAGTGAAAACTTCTTTATTTCTGTGAGACGCATGCTTGACTGCCACCAGCAGACATAGTTACTGTCACAACTTGCAGAATTTCTGGTCCTGGAAAGCAGAACCCATGCAGCAACCCAGAGACGGTAACCGTGCTCCATCATCACTAATCCTGGAGAAGAAAGCACAGGTGAGTATGCTGGACACTAAAGCTGGCAGGGTGTGAGCCAGCATGGGTTCAGATGCAGCACAACACCATGCTTTAAGTCATCCCAAGTCAGGGCTTGTTAGGTTGATACAGCTGCAGGCTAACATGGCTGGGCACACGTAGATCCCAGCTGGTGTATTGTGTATCTGCAGCATTACATGATGCCATAGTCTTCCTGCTTTAATTTATATTATTTTTATTTTTAAGCTTGGGCCTCCCTGTGCTGTGTTCTGACATAGCATAGATGGTGTCCATTTTTCTTGAGCTTTTATTTTTTGAAAATTACTTGAGCTTTTTGAAGCAATGTTAAGACCGCCTCATTAGGCTACAGGGTGGACTTTTCTACTAGACTCAAGACATAAAAATGTAAACACTTCTACACAGGTACAATTTTGCATGCTTTAAATCTGACACATATAAATTTAAAAAAAAAAAAAATCAAAAACAAAACACCAGCCAACTAGTGAGTTTTTTTTTTTCTTCCCCCTTCCCCCACAGTTGAGTAACAATCTGTTCAAGATTGGGTAGTTCAATTCAACATTCTGCATTCAAATATATTTATTTCAAACACAGTTACTGGCCTTCTCTATTTTCCAAGCAGAAACTAAGTCTGGTTTCTTACAGAAGTATAATTTTTAGAATTCTGTATCTGAGAAAAAAACGTAAGTTAAAGCTGTAAGGATCAGCTGTGTAGATCTTTCTACAAGCAAAGAATATGCTGGATCCTATACTTTTTAGTCCGACTATTTCCTGAAGAACAATTTATATATGTATGCTTACCATTTTTAGAAATACATAACTCTATCTGAAATTCTGCCCCTTCCCTTTAATACCATTTTATCATCATAGACATAAATAGTTCCAAAGGCATTGCTTTCTGGTGGAGTTTCAATAATCCCCTCCAAAGTCAGATGATGAACACCATGTGAGTCTAAACAATAGCCACCATCATGCAGGTGTCCTGCAAGAAAGCAGACGACGCACTGATGAGAGTGTATGACAGAAAGCGCATCTTCGTAATTCCAGGCTAAGCAAACTTTGTCTGAAGCATCTGGATGAATGGGCAGATGACCTGCAGATGAGAGGGAAAGAAGAGTTACATGAAGCACATAACAATTGTCAGTGCAGACCCCTCAATCTTTTGGGATTCTCTATAAAAGCAACAGAATCACTTTGGTTTACAGTCCAGGGAAAATCAGAGCATCTATAGAGCTCTAGTATTTCATTTCTTTCAAATATTTTTCATTTTCTTATTTATGTAGCATCTAAATATCAGAATATTAAGTCTCCTCTCAGCGATTCTAAGTGATACTACGAGATCACTTCTGGTTTGTCACTCAATCTAAATGAGTATGTTTAACATACCAAACTCTGCCTCCAGACAAGCCGCTTTCATTGGCGGGAAATTCAGACTTCTACCTGTACCCTACAAGCTCACCTGAGTGTGAGACAGGGTAGCTGTTCTCCAAGTTCACAGGTTACATACATACCTATGGTATTATGTGTTTTCCTCAGTTAACTTCCAACTGTTTTTGACTTATACCCTCCATATCCACCTACCCATAGCTACAACTTTTTCTTGGTTTTCATCAGAGAACTTGAGAACTTCATCGAACCAGTCCAGCTGGGTTTGGCTAAATCCTCCATTAAACTCTACAAACTGAGGTTCTTTGAGCCCTGCAATGAAGAAGAATGTTAGGCAAACGTGCATACACCCACTGTAACTTCCTTATTTACTTTTACTTATGTAAATCTACTAGAAATGGTTTATTCTTAGAGCTTCCTTTTTGTACATCTCAGATCAGAACTGCAGCCTCCTCGGACAGACGAGAGAAAACAGTTACTGTTGGGGTGGGGGTTTGCCATATTGCACGCACAGCATTTCCACTTGTGTCCCTGCATGCTGTCGCGGCTGGGATGGCCTCCGCTCGACACGGCCGCAGCACCCGCGCCAACAGGTGCCTTCCGTGCCGGTGCCGCAGGACACGCGACACATCAACCCACCTAAAAAGCCCCAGAGCGGCACGACAGCCAGGGGGACGCGCCTGCATACGCCCGGCTCGCTCCCGGTTGGACCCGGGGACAGGCGCCAGCCCCCCGAGCGCCGCCCCGGCGGGACCTGCCTGCCGGGCTGTTGAGGTTCTCGTTGGGGTTCCTCTCCCTCAGCCGCCGCAAGGACTCCCGGTGGCTGGGGCTGGCCGGGTCCCTGCCCAGCACGCTCAGGTCGTAGCCGTCGAGCAGGACGAAGCGGAGGCGCGGCGCCGGGCTGAAGTGGTAGGCATGGCAGTCCCCGGGCGGCCCGGCGGGCGGCCCGGCGGCGGGGGCGGGGGCGGGGCGGCTGTTGAGGCCGCTACTCGCCAGGCGGTCCCGGCAGAAGTTGTAGAGCTCGTGGTTGCCCCAGGCGTGGTGCACCGGCACCGGCAGCCTCCGCAGCGCCGCCAGCACCCGCTCCAGAGCGCCCTCGGCCGCGCCGCGCCGCGCGTTGACGCCGTCGATGCAGTCGCCCAGCTGCACCACGAAGGCGAGCGGCGGCTGCTCGGCTGCCCACGCCTCCACGGCGGCCCGCAGCAGGCGGAGGCTGTGCCGGTAGTACCGCCGCCGGCGCCCCCAGAAGTCGCAGCCGTCCTCCTCGTCTGCGTACTGGATGTCCGCGACCACCCCGAAGGAAACGCGCGGCGCCGCCTCCATCGCGGCCGCCGGAGCCGGAAGGGGAACGGGAAGGGGAGGGACGGGGCGGGCGGCAGCATGGCGGTGGCTCTCCGCTGCTGGCGACTCTCGCAGCGCTGGCGCCTCCCGGCCGGCGCCAGTTTCGCGGACCTGGCCTGGGGCCGGCCGCTGAGCGGCCAGGCGGCGCCGCTGCCGGCCCGCGGGGCTCTCCCCGTGCCCGTGCCCGGCAGCCGCTCCCTGTCCCGCCTGCCGCCGGGGAGCGGCCAGCGGGCGGCCCCGCAGAGGAGGGTGAGTGGGGGCCCCGCGACCAGCGGGCGGGGGGCGCGGGCAGGATCCCCCGGAAGAGCCCCCGCTTCTCCCGGCCTCGGCTCCGCGCTCCTCCCCCCCCCGCCGGGGCTAGGGGACAAGGCACTAAAAAGCTTTTTTTCAGTAGCTGGTGTCCTGGCGGTCGCTGGTGGCCACCTTCATCGTGTGCGGAGGGCTGCTGGTGGCTATGAAAAAGATGAAGAAAACGAAGGAGGAGAGTGAGTGTTTGCACAGCCTGGTGATGTCCCCGCAGGGTGGGCGGTTGTGTTGTGCTGTTTCTTGCCTTTTTCCAAATTGTTTCTGTTTCGGGCAAAAGAGCATTAAACTGATTCTACTCATTGCAGTATCCAGCTGTAGTTAAATCTGAAGTACTTCTATACCATAGGCTCATAGGACGGTTTGCGTTGGAAGGCACCTCAAAGATCACCTAGTTCCAACCCCCCTGCCATGGGCAGGGACTCTATGAGGTTGTTCAGGGCCTCATCCAATGTTGTCTTGAACACCTCCAGGGATGGGATATCCACAACTTCTCCAGGCAACCTGTTCCAGTGCCTCACCACCCTCTGAGCGAAGAATTTTCTCCTAGCCTTTAAGCTAAATCTCCCTTCTTTTAGTTTAAAACCATTCCCGCTTGTCCTGTCAATATCTGGTTGAGCAAAGAGTCACTCTCCAGCTTTTTTATAAGCCCCCTTCTGGAACAACTGGAAAGTTGTGATGAGGTCACCCCGGAGCCTTTTCTTCTGCAGAATGAACAGCCCCAGCTCTCTCAGCCTTTCTTCATAGAAGTGTTCCAGCCCCTTGATCATCTTTGTGGCCCTCCTCTGGACCCATTCTAAAAGCCCCACATCCTTCTTGTGCTGGGCGCCCCAGACCTGGATGCAGTGCTCCAAGTGGGGCTTCACCAGGGCAGAGCAGAGGTAAAATCACCTCCCTCCCCTGCTGCCCACCCCTCTGTTGATGCAGCCCAGGATGCAGTTGGCCTTCTGGGCTGCAAGCATGGACTGCCAGCTCGTGTCAAGCCTTTCATCCATCCTTCTCTGAAGGGCTGATCTCAGTGAGTTCTTCTTCCAGTCTGTGCTCTTGCAGCTCCTTGAACTTGGAATTGTTGAACCTCATTAGTTTCATGTGGGCCAACTTCTCTGGCCTGTCCATGTCCCTTTGGATGGCATTCCTTCTTTCTGTTGCATCAACTGCACCACTCAGCTTGGTGTCATCTGCAAACTTGCTGAGAGTGCACTCGATCCCACTGTCTGTGTCACTGATGAAGATATTAAACAGTACCGGTCCCAGGACAGACCCCTGAGGGACACCACTCGTCACTGGCCTCCACCTGGACATAGAGCCATTGACCACCACTGTCTGGGTGTGACCTTCAAGCCAACTCCTTATCCACTGAGTGGTCCACCCATAAAATCCATTTCTCTCCAATCTGGAGACCAGGATGTCATGAGGGACCATGTGAAAGGCCTTGCAGAAGTCCAGGTAGACCGGTCGTCCTTTGTCAACTGATGCAGTCACTCCATTGTAGAAAGCCACCGGACTGGTCAGGCACATTTACCCTTGGTGAAGCCATGCTGGCTGTCTCAGACTACCTCTTTGTCTTATATATGCGTCAACACTGCTTCCAGGAGAATGTTTTCCATGATCTTGCCAGGCAGAGGTGAGGCTTACTGGTCAGTAGTTCCTCAGGTCCTCCTTTCTACCCTTTTTAAAAAAGGGAGCGATGTTTCTCTTTCCAGTCAACAGGGACTTCATCTGAATGCCAGGACTTTTCAAATAGGTGGTCTCCAACCTGCTCTTCACTTACAGTGGGCAGGACTTTGCTCCCCCAGCCTCCATCTATGGGTTCAGGAAAATGAATGACATGGGAAGCCTGACTGGCAGTGAAGACTGAGGCAAAGAAGTTGCTGAGTACTTCAGCCTTCTCCAAGTCTGTCACTACCAGTTCACTCTTCTCATCCATCAGAGGGGGTACACTCTCCTTGGCCTTTCTTTTCTGAGCAATGTACCTACAGAATCCCTTGCTGTTATTCTTTGCATCCCTTGCCAAGCTCTGTTCCATCTGTGCCTTGGCTTTCCTGATCCCATCCTTGCATATCTGGACCGCATCCCTGTACTCTTCCCAGGCCACATGTCCCTGCTTCCACTGCCTGTGGATTTTCTTCTTGCACCTCAGTTTGACCAGCAGGTCCTTGCTCAGCCGTCCCAGTTGTCTGCCCTCTTTTTTATGCAGGGGGATGGAGAATTCTTGTGCTCTAAGGAAAACATCCTTAAAGAGTCTCCAGCTCTGCTCAGCTCCTTTGTCCCTAAGGACAGTGTTCCAGGGGATCTCAGCTACTAGGTCTTTAAACAGCTTGAAGTTTGCTCTTTGGAAGTTCAGGGCCCTGACTTTGCTCTTTGCCAGGTCTGTATTCCTCAAGATCGCAAACTCAACCAGGGCATGGTCACTGCGGCTCAGACTGCCTCCAGTCTTGACCTCTTTAATGAGCTCTTCCATGTTGGTGAGCACCAGGTAAAGTAACGCTTCTCCTCAGGTTGGTTTGTCTGGTACCTGGATGTTATCCTCAACACACTCCAAGAATCTTCTGGATTGCTCACAGCCTGCTGTGTAGTTTTCCCAGCAGACATCCAAGTGTTTGAAGTCCCCCGTCAGGATGAGAGCGTGTGAGTGTGATGCTTCTTATAGTTGAAGCAAGAATACCTTGTCCACAGGCTTCCCTTGATCAGGTGGTCTGTGGTAGACCCCAACCACAAGCTGTCTTTTATTGGTGCGGTCCTTAACTCTCACCCATAAGCTCTCAACCTGTCTGTGGCTGTTTCTCAAAGGCAACTCTTCCCAATCAATTCCTTCCCTGGTGTACAGGGCAACACCCCCTCCCTTCCTTCCCTGTCTATCCCTTCTTAAGAGCTTGTAGCCCTCTATTCAAATGTTCCAATTATGTGATCCATCCCACCATGTTGATAGTGATAGTAATCAGGTGATAGTAATCAGGTCATATTTGTCTAATTGTACCATGGTTTCCAGTTCCTCTTGCTTGTTTCCTATGATGCGTGCATTGGTGTAGAGGCATTTCAGCTGGGCAATCAGTCGTATTGCGTTTCTAGAACCCTCCCTGATTGCAGTGGGACAGTTCACAAGTGTGTGTTTCCCTGCCATTACTTAGGGTAATAGTGTTCTCAGGTATGCTTTCTTTGCTCAGAGCTGCATCCCCTTCCCTCACCACATCTAGTTTAAAGCCCTCCTGATAAGCCCAGCCAGCTTACTGCCCAGAACTCTCTTGCCCCTCCTGGACAGCTGTGCCCCATCCAGCATCAGCATGCCTGATCCCCCAAAAGCATTTAGAATCCAAAACCTTGGGCATGGCACCAGTCTCTCAGCCAAAATGAGAAAAAAATTGAAATATTTTAAAATTGAAAATAGAAAAATTAAAGACTAAGTATTTAAAAAAATCTTATATATGCTTTTGCTATTACTATTTACATTTACTTACACGCTACTGAGAGCACACCATGCATAAAAACACAAAGGGGAGAGGAGAAACTTGTCTGTTGTCACAGGCACAGAGGGGGACACGGGGTTTCCTGGGCACCTTGGTTTTTAAGTCCATGACTTCTGCATGTGTTTCCCTATTCTGCAGTAACTGCTTATGTTTTTATTTTTATTTTTAATTTTTTTTTTCATGTTCATTGAAACTCAGAGAGAGCACAACTTTAAGGATATATTGAATTTGTGAAGGATGACAGTTTTTCTATTTCATACCAACTCAGGCCAAGTACCTGTCCATCTCAAGTACCTTTGATGATAATATGACAATCGGATGATGATTTTATGAGATTAGAGATTATTACATTTCAAACGAAGTTATCTCTGGCTAAATTTGGTACAGGACTTTGTCTACAATCAGACACACTGCTTGGAAGTCTTGTCTGTGTTGGACTTGTACACAGATTTCTCACCTGACTCCTGATGGTGTCAGAGACTCTCCTGTGGGTGGGGACAGGGATTGTGGCATGAAAATTCAAGATCTCTTGTTGTTTTCTGTAGAGCTGGAGAAAGAACGAAACCGAGGCATTGGGAAACCGCTGCTGGGAGGGCCCTTCTCACTTGTAAACCATGAGGGACAGCCCAAGACCAACAAGGACTACCTCGGCCAGTGGGTGCTGATCTACTTTGGCTTCACACACTGCCCTGACATCTGCCCTGATGAACTTGAGAAAATGATTGAAGTGGTAGATGAAATTGGTATGTGAATTCAGTTTGCAGAGCAATCTTTTTTATAGGAGGCTAAGGTTTATTGTGGTAAAATGTTACATGTGGTAATAAGTGATGATCCTCTTTACAAAATGCTAATTAATATTCAGTAGTTGAATTAATTGCTCATTGATAAATAAATCAATCTTCCAGCCACTAGATTCTGATGTTTAGAGCATGACAGCACTGACCTCTCTGGAACAGAGAATTTCTATTTAATAAAATATGACAGTGGTGGGCTACAGTGGAGGAGGTTACAATGCCATTGTAGACTGCATTTGTGCCAAGAGGTTGTAGGTATATTAGGCACTTTTTTCCTCTATTTTATTAATTCTGGTAACAAAGCTTTCTGAGTGTCTTTTCTGAAAATGATTGTACTGTGAAACAGGTTGGGGGAGGGGTATGTGGAAGAGATGTTTTTTCAGCCTATGCTCTCCGAAGAGTTGCACAAAAGGGATACTAGGAACCAAGCAGGTGACAGGGTTGACTAAAATGTAGAAAATATATAAGAAGGTATGAGTGGAAAATGAGGGAAAGATCCTGAATTGTGTCTTCATCTGGGCTCTTGTTTCATCATCACAGATGTGCTTTCAACCACTGGGCCTTCATCTCTCTACTTTGCACTGGCATTTCCTGCATCAGAGCCAATTTGTCATTTGTCCTAAGCAGGGCACACTGTCCAGCTAGGAGAGCTGGAAGTGTAGCTGCACCCAGCACAAGCAGAGAGTGTTGGTTTTCATGGCATTTTTTTTTTTCTGACAGAGTTTGTATTATATAAATTAATTTACACAAAATGGCCTTTTTACTTTGCCACTTAGGATGGACTTGAGTGGATGTTATGGTAACTTGCCTGTGACCTTGTTTGAAGGAAGAAAAGGAAACAACTTTTAGCTTGCTAGGAAAAATTGTAATTGTTAATGTGTCTGATTACAGATAGAATTCCATCTTTGCCTAATCTGACCCCACTCTTCATCACCATTGATCCTGAGAGGGACAATGAAGAAGCCATCGCCAGATATGTTAAAGGTACCGTTTTTTTTCCTACATTGATATCTTATAACATGTAATAAAGAGTACTGAAAAGGAGAATCTTGAGAGGATTATTTTCACTGAAGTTTCTAAACATCTTCTTTCTCCGTAGAATTTTCTTCAAAGCTGATTGGATTGACTGGTAGCAAAGCACAAATTGACCAAGTGGCCAAAGCTTACCGTGTGTATTACAGTGAAGGTCCCAAAGATGAAGACAACGATTACATAGTGAGTAAATATAGGGTGTTTACCTAATGAACGATTTTGATTAAGAACAGGATAAAGATTTTAAACAAAAGACAGCTGTTGTAGTCTTGCTGAAGCCCTCTGTGACAGAGGCCTGTTGCATCTATGTGTTCAGTTTTAGATGTCTCAGTCAGAATTGAGGCTCCCTCTTTACAGACTTAGAACCTCACTGAAATACAGTTCTAAAAGCACACGGTCCAATTGCTTCGTGCAGAATACCATACAAGCTACCAAGTCTGGTGACGAACTGAACCTTTTTTCATCCTGTAACATTTTTGTCTGGCTGTTTTCCCATGTGCTCCAAAGTGAAAATGGAACTGGGGAGTTATGGCAATAGGAAGAGGAAGAAATGAGAGGAAAGTGAGTAACAACTTACTCCCTGCCAAACTGAGACCAAGAAGCAGGGTTTTCCTGGCATGACACTTGGATGATGCAAAGTCTGCCTGCAGATAATGTGGGAATCTTCCTCCTGTGTCAAATGACCTGGAAGAGAAAGCATGTTAATGCTAAATTTAGTGGGAGTCAATTACATAGAGTGATAGTGGGAAAAGGGAAACTGAAGTTTATGTAAAACTAAACTTGGGTAGTCAAAATCTTACTTTTTGGAAGTGAATGGGACTGGTTATAGGGGCTCTGAGTTACTGCCAAGGCCTTCTGCACCTGCCACATCCTGAGCAGACTGGAAGAGTGAAGTAGGTTCAAGTGATGTGACAGGTGAGGATACATATTACATGATCATGTTTTCCTTACAAGAACTGAAAGGCATCAGAGAAAACAAAAAACAGATTCTAAAGGAAAAGTGATGTTTTTCGTTGAAATGAGCAGGTGTGAAGTGGAATCCCTTGCTGCAGATGCAACTGGTAGAAGTTTATATGAGCCCCCAAGGAGACTTGATTATTCTTTGTAAAAAAAAATAAATGAAATGGATGTAATTTATGCTTCACTGAGGAAGAGCTAGAAATGTGAGCTAGAAATGTTTGGAAACTGTTTAGAAACATTTTTTTTGTCTGTGCTGATTTTATACTCTTCTTTAAAACAACCATTTTTTGCCACTATTTGAGGTAGGATGCTAAGGCAGGTTGTTTTGGGTCTGATCCAGTAATACTATTCTTACTCTGGTTTAAAACTACCTGACTGCAGCAAATAAATTATGTATGTGGACAAAAAAGCTGGTGGAACAAAAAAAGTGATGCATAGAAATAAAAAGTAAAAGCAACACATAATCTCAGTAAAGAGAAGAGAGTCAGGGTGGTAATAGGCACCAATCTGGGTTACTAAGAAGGGTGTGAAGTGGGACATTAAGAACTGGCTTTCACTTATGGGCAGCTCAGAAGCTGCAGAAGTCTGTGTCTTAAGATACTATATTTGTATGGAAGGAGGAACTCAGTGGGGAAATTTAACACCATTTTTAATCAATCTACTGTCTGTCTGAAGATACTGCCTAAAACAGACTTATAAAACATGGTTGGTGGGGATATAAGAATGCGTTCTAGAAGGATTGGCAAAAGATGTGTACTCAGAAGAGGGAAAAAATCTGTAGAATCTGACATTAAATGAGTAAATAAAATTTGTGAAAAGTTGGAAAGAAGCCACAAAAGCTGAAGGAGGTCTTCTGTTTATGAATTAAACCACACATAAATTCTCACAAACCACTCCTAGTCTTAAGCATGATCATAGTGGGGAAGTACAGGAATCTCACCAAAGAAAATAGCTATATTAGATGAGAGCAGCTTCAAGGGAGGCTGGAGGGGGAGACAAAAGAGAAGAACATGACTAGAGATATAACAAATTATGAGGAAGTTTTCATGGTCCAGAGGGAACAGAGCTACGGTGTGCTATGGTTGTGCTAAGTACCTGGGAGCCTTGTGAATGTGTGAATAGCAGAAGAGGACATTGAGGAAGAAAGGACCATGAACTGGGAGCAGGAGAGCAGCCTAAGAGCTTGAGTCGGGTGTGGTGCCATGGAGGAATGGTATGCACTTGTCTCTACTACAGGTTTTGTCATAGGCTTCTGCTTTTGATATAGGCAGTGAGCTCTCTATATTTATTGCAGGAAGGCCAGAGGATGCAGGTCTCTCTGAAACAAACTGGAAAGAAGATAACAGTAATAGCAGATCTGGGAGGGAGAGCTTGAGTCTGTTTATGTGTTTACCTGTGACTTATCCAAGCGATTATTACTCTGTATTTTCTTTCATTAAAGATGGATTTTTTTGTACATTCTGTCTTGCAAGGACTGGTCTTGCCAGTCAGCGACTAAGAATGATGATACTTGTGGAGCGAGCACTGTGTCCTCTGCATGCTGCTGGGAGGTGGGGAAGAGGTCCAGTGCAGCCAATTATTCTCTGCTTGTTTTTACTTGAGAAGAATATTGAGATGAATATTTAAGAAGTATGTTTTCTAAGTATCTATTTACATTGTTCAAGTATTATTTGAATATTACTAGTTCCTATCTAATAATTTCAATTTTATAAGTTTTAATGCCAGAGTATCTGATTTTGTTTTTTATTCAGTTTAGAAGATTGCATTTAAAATCAGACGATGACCTCATGTACATTCACACAGTGGTAATGGGGCAGACTTCAGGCACAGCTTGGAAAAATAGTGATCTTTCGCACATGAACAGCATGCCCTCCTGACTGTACTTATCTTCCAAAAGCCGGGGAGTTCAGATGCTCTGAGCAGGCTACCTGTATTTTTTTTTTTTTGTTAGTTTCCAGTTGAAGGGCTATAGGATCTGAATTATGATTCAGATTCATTTTAAAAGGTCCTGCTACTTGATTTTATCTTAAACTTGTCAATAAAACTTTAAGAACCATTACTTTGATGACAGAAATGCTACCAAATTTAACATGCCCTTTTAGCTTCTTATGCTGTAAATACCCACAGAATTTCTTGATTTCAAACACAGACATGCCCTTAGTACATGAGTATATCTCATATATAGTGAGATATGTAAGTATATAGTGAGTATATCTCATATATTATGTAGTCACTGGTGCAATCACAGATACATGGCCTCTGTTTTCAGTATGTTGTCTTTACTCATAAAGATGCTGTCGTAGGTGCAGACCATATTTTTGGTGGTGTATTTAAGGTACTTAAAATGGAATTGCTTTTTATATAAATCAAATTGGAATAACTCAAGCATTCAAACAACAGTTACTTTTAAATTGGGGGGAGGGTGGGGCGGGCAGGGTAGCTACATGTATTTCAAATTCTTTCCTGCTATCTCTGCTCAGACTTCTTGTGATGTTTGCAGTTACGATCACATGGAGACAGTAGAGGGAGCCCCCTACCAGCTCATGGTATTTATTTGTGTATCAGCTCCACTGTCTGTAACTCCTGTATCCTGGTGATGCTCTCTGTCCTTTTGTTTGCACTGACAGTGAACTTGCTTGAATGAAGTATCTCCTACAAGCAGTAGGAAGCCTGAATTGTGGGGATTGTGGAACATTAAGAGAAGTAGAAGGAAACTGGGAAAAGTGAGGGGGAAAGACCACTAGACTGAACCTTCCTCATGTTTTCCCTAGCCCTGTCTGTGCTGAAGGAAGGGTGCCTGCAGCTTAGGGAAGATTTTCCTGTATACAGTATTCTTTCATGCGTCTTGAGTATGCATCTAGTTTTCTCCATTTATTTTGTTAGGTAGAACAACAAAATGTGACCAAAGTGATGCTAAGGCTTTCTTTATCTTACAATAGCTTGCTGGCAAGAAGTTGTGTCAGACAGCTAATTGAAAGGCTGAATGGGGTATTGTTACTGCTGACTTTGAAAGATGTGCAGGATCTTTTTTACTAAACAGCGATGTGCTTTGTTGCAGGTGGATCACACAATAATAATGTATCTCCTTGGGCCAGATGGTGAATTTGTGGACTATTATGGACAGAATAAGAGGAGCACTGAGATTTCTGCTTCTATTGCTGCACACATGAGAAAATACAGATCATAAAATACAAAGTCTTCAAAGATTGATGTTGACATCAGCTGTAGATTTGGCTTGAATTGGGAATTGTATTCAGTGTTCTCTCAGAAGTATAGAAGTGTAATATTCTCTCACTATACATGCCTCCTTTCTTCCAAATAAGAAAGGCAACAGCACTCCTGCAAAATACCATTATCAAAAATCTGTATACAGCCTCCCTCATGGGTATTATTTGCAGGGAGATCTGGGGTACAGAATGAAATTCAGGACTTCTTGGAAACAATCTTGGGAGCAAAAGAGAAAACATTTCATTTCTGAAGAACACCTGTATCGCTTGTAGAATTAGTTGGTATCTCTTGACCAGACATCTGCAAAAGATGGTTACGTGATGAAAAGCCATGTGGGTCATTGCAACATCAGAGGACCTTTGCCTTTTTTCCTGCAATGTTTTGTTTTCTGGGAGAGACACTTACAATATTGTAAAGAGAGAGTCCTTTATATAGGCTGAGAAGTTGAAGAGCGTTGAAAACATCAGCAGCTTCGATGTATGGGATCAGCCTTGTAATGTGCCCTATCTTCCTCATTTGAATGCAGAAATGAAATATATATATTTTTTTCTTGGTGTTTTCTCCAAGCAAACACTGGTAACTTCTACAGAAATGAATAATGGGTTGCAAACAGATTTTTCTCTTGATCTAAATAATTTTATGCATACTCAGCCTGATTGCTTTTTGTTGAAATGAAGTGAAGAGGTGACAGGCATCTGTATCCATTCATAGGACCATCAAACAGATACATTTTATGCAGTACATCATTTGAAAATAAAGATTGCTTTATAGAATTATTGCTTTCTCAGCTTTGCAGGAATCACCTTCCAGTAGAGGAAAGAGTGACTGTAGTGTAAGTCTGGTATTCTTCTGCATACAGGGACAACATTAGAAGAGACCAGAGCCTGTATCACCTGTTTTTTTAGTGCTAGAGGGGTTTATGCAAAAAAGGGTCTTATTTCCAGGGTGATTGTGAGGTGTCTGTTTTCCTGTTTTCTTTTCTTTTTCCTTTGTTTAATGATATGCCATTATCAGTCAAGTCATTCTTCTGAATGCTGGTCAAACCTCATATATTTAATGTGTTTTATCTCTTTTCTTGAAAATAGTGTTGATCTATAGTGGTACAACTCATTTCATAAGTTGGGTGTGCTCGGTTTTGAGCTAGCTCAACACCAGAGAATGATCCACAGGACATAAAAGAAAAAAGTTCTCAGTGCAAGTCATAGTCACAGCTGCACACAAGTGCTACTGCTGGTATCATTGGCATTCTTCTGAGGGTGAGGTGTGGAAGAGAAAATTGCTGTGTAGAGGCAAGGTGCAATTTCTATGGTAAATTTTCATCTTCCCAAAATCCTGAAAAATGGTTAGCTTACGAGGTCTAGAGCAGTTATAAAGTACTGTAGTCTAGGGCAGCTACCCTATATTATGGTGAGTTCCTGCGTGTATTGGGAAGACTTACCATGTAATATGTTTGAAACTGCACTCTTACAAAGCTCCGCTAAGGAAGGAAGATTGCTGAAGACTCAAGATGCGTTTTATTTTTTTTTGCCTCTCAGATAGTGTATATATTAAAACAGAAAACAAAACCTCCTTTAAAGGGTCACCAAGAACTTTTGTGTACTGGTTTACAATGTGAAATTTAGTGTCTTAATAGTATTTAACTCCCTTTTTCCCTCGGAAAGATGGAGGGCCAGTGGAGGGCCACAAAGATGATACGGGGCCTGGAGCATCTTCCCTGTGAGGAAAGGCTGAGAGACCTGGGTCTGTTCAGCCTTCAGAAAAGAAGACTGAGAGGGGATATTATAGATGTTTACAAATATCTTATGTGTGGGAGATAGAGGGATGTGGCCAACCTGTTTTCAGTGGTTTGTGGGGACAGGACAAGGGGCAGTGGCCACAAGATAGAGCACAGGAAGTTCCGCACCAACATGCGAAAGAACTTCTTCACGGTGAGGGTGACGGAGCACTGGGACAGGCTGCCCAGGGAGGTTGTGGAGTCTCCTTCTCTGGAAATATTCAAGGCCTGTCTGGAAGCCTACCTGGGCAACCTGCTATAGAGAACCTGCTTTGGCAGGGGGGTTGGACCTCACGATCTCTTCAGGTCCCTTCCAACCCCTACAATTCTGTGACTGCTATTGAGTTTGTTGTTCTTCTTGTGCTGGCTGTTTTGACTGCAGTTAGCAAGAGGGGTAGCTTCCAAAGGAAATTTCACATGCTAAGTCACGTTTCAGTTAGAGGCCATGTCAAGTCCAAGGTGTTAGCAATAATATTATTATCTGTGATGAGTGGCACTGGCAATAATAATTTTGTTTTGATAGAGTGGCTGCAAGTGTCAGCATTGTTTCTAAAGAGCCTTATCTCACCTTTTATTTTTTCCAACAATCCTGGAGGTAATTTATGTTCAAAAACTTTCCTTGTAATAATGATTTTGGCACCTTCTAGCTCTGCATTCCTTTGTCCTTGTGGCTGTGCACAAGTTCGTCTTGAAGTTCACCTGCTGGTGATAGTCCTGCCGTAAGTGGAACGCTGGACTGGAGACCTCTGGAGTTCCCTTCCAGCCAGCTCTTCTGCATTTCTGTGAAATTATCCTTGATGAGACCAGGAACTGCACTCAGTGCTCTGAGCCTTGCTGCTCCAGAAGAGCATAAGGCCATTTGAACCACAGCCTCAGCTGTCTACATATAGAGAAGAATTTACAATGGTGTATTCTGGAGACAATTGACCTGCTTTTTTTTTTTTTTTTTTCCTTTTTTTCTTTTCTTTTTTAATCATGACCTTTACCAGGGAAGACCACCTCCTTTTTGAACTTCTGATGCACTAGTTTTAGCCATGATTATGCCATACAATATGGCATATTAAGGTATAGGAGGTGCTAAATTATATTTATCTGCTCTTGTCAGAAAAGCAACCTAGAAATATCACTCACCTTATGGGTCTCAGTGGCCCAAATGTCTGGCCACGCTATAAGTGCTCTAGTAGGTGAGTTGCGCGTATTAAGTAACAAAAAAACAGCAGTGAGTAGTACTAGCAGAGATGGTGTTTTGAAGCACAGACCTGTTGAGCCTCTTTGAATACTTTCCCTCATGCTGTTAGTCCCCAAGGTCTTAGATGATTGGAGAGGATATTTAGTCGGCCTCTTGAAAGTCTGCTTGTGTTTCCCTTGATTACAGCCAAGTGCTTAAAGTATCCCACGGAGGAAAACTTAATACTATAATTTGAATCTTTACAGACTGAAAATGTTCATAATACACATTTTCCAGCCATATCTGTCATCTGATAGGAATGGGGGAGACATCATTTCAAGCTAAAAATGCAGCAGGTTGATTGTAGAGCTTAGGGGGATAGAGCATGTGTTTGTAAACCCCCGTTCTACTTAATTGACCACAAAGGAATGGAGTGGTTCCTATTTGCTGTGTGTGGTAGCCTACAGGAATGCAGCCTGGTCAGCTCTCTGGCAGTGTGTGGGCATCTCCATCATCAGTAGCCAGAGTTGAGGATAGTGACATGTGGGGTTTCTTCCTGCCATGCTGGTGCACAGCATCCTGGAACAGATTCCCTTTGCGCTCAGGGTCTCTCACCACCTTCTGTTTTTCACAGGGGAGTACATGTGGAAAATGTGGCAGTTCCCTTGAATCTTCCCCTAGACCACTTTGTGCTGATACTTGGCATATAATGGAAGCTGAACTAAAAAGGGAATGTTTTTTCAAAAATGGCATGAATGGGGCTAGGTACGTGGATTGCTTGGCACAGCGATCATCAATTGATTCTGGTTAGTTGTTACCAAAGTCAGGAAAAAATATTGAAAAATTTGTTTCAATTCCTGAAAAATTACTAAAGTGCTGTGAAATGGCTACTGCTCACTTTTAACGTCTCTGCGACAAAAACTGTCTCTGTATCCAAGTCAGAACTGCAAGATGCTCTCTTTATTTTTGTTTTTGTTTTTTTTTATTTTTATTTTTATTTTTATTTTTATTTTTATTTTTATTTTTATTTTTATTTTTATTTTTATTGTTGTTGTGCGACTCGGTGTTACATCTGTGATGCATTTTACATTTATCAGATACTTGGGTTTTGGACAAAACTGTTATTTGCTGGTAACACTTTCAGTACTGTATTCTTTTTTGACTACTGCTGATTTACTGATAGCTATGGAGTCTCCTTGGCCAAGCCCCTACCCTATCTCTTGTTCTGTTGCTGCACTTGTCTACACCGACAAAACTCTACAAGACTTTGTCCCTACTTCTCAAGGTCTTTGCCAACATATCAGGCCTGTATTTCTTTATATTACGTCAGTATGTAAGTCATAAATACCTTACTCTGCACAGAATAACTACTTGTTAGTACAGTCTGTGTAAAACCAGGGTTGTATCAAGCAACAATGAGCAAAAATGAAACAAATTAGCCAGAACCCCCTGCTATCACAGCTAGGCCAAGCTAAAGCTGCCAGGTCAAAGTTCAAATGAGGCAAGCTTGCCAGGCCTCCGTCCTGAGTCTTTGCAAACTCAATACAAAGCCTGTGGGCTACAGGGCATCAAGGATTGCTCTATGTTTATTACCCTGAAGCTAATTTGCAGCTGATTCTTAGTACAGAAACAAATGCAAATTTCTGTCTTTTCCCATAAGTTTTGGCATAAGCATCATGTCCTTGAAATTGCTTCATGCAGCCTGAAAGGCAGAGCCAGCCAACTAACTAACAGTAGGTTGTGGCAGACTGGTCGTCCTGTGAGAAGTGCACAGAAGGATGGGATGGAGAGGCAGGCCTGTGAGCATGTCACTGCACTCCTGCACGCCAGCAGGAGCTGATGTCCTGATTCTTTCTGCCTCTTGAATTGACCCTACCCATCACTTTCCCTCATTTTTTTACAGGAGCCATGGCGTGTGTCAGGAGGGAAACTTTCAGAACTCTTTTTTTACACTAATATGATGCTTAGGCAACTGTTAGTCTTTCACTGTCCTGCCTTGGTGACTGCAGGGTCCTCCATGGGGCCTTGAAGGACTTTCAGAGACGGAGCTGGCTTTGCCTGCTACTTGTGGGTTCAAGAAGCCTGTTTTCCCAGGCCTGGGCTGCCCAGCTGCAGTTTCTGTCCCTTAGAGTTTTTTTTTTTTTTTTTTTTCTCAGTACTTCTCAGTCTTTCACTTCTACAAGGAACGTCGGTGTTTCAATGGCAGAACAAATCCTTGCTGGCACCCCTTCTGTTCTGCACAAAGGGCTGAACATAACATAGGAGCCAAAGGCAGCAGGAGGGAGTCCTTTCCTCTGTGCATGAGGTGTCATACCCTGTGTAGTTGAGAGACACAACTCCAAGGTCAAGTTGGTGGAGTGGAAAATAGGGTTGTTTTCTGTTCTGAGAGCTTCTCTGAAACCGAAGAAATGGTGCACTACCATAAAAGTCCTTCCAGACCAGAAAATTGAGAGAGAACTAGAAAGAGTTGAAGGTGAGAGCTCCTGCCTTGCAGGCAGGGTCTGTCTGGGCAGGAGCACCAATCCTGTGGTATGCAATTTTCGAGTGCTTGCTCTACCAGGCCTTGTCCTGGAGCACAGCTCTGTTCCCCTCTGTTCTTCAGGGAACCAAGTGCTGTGCTGGTGCTCACAAGAGGAGGCTGAGCTGTTCAAGGAGCAGGTAGGGCACAGGCTCAGTCAGAGAAAGGCAAAGCTGCACTGTCAAGAGCAGAGATACTGAGCAAAACTATTTGACCAGAAGAGATCACTGAAGGTGTGAACTCTTGGTACCTCTGGGAGGAGAGGTGGTGTTATAGAGGGTTAGCTAGCAGAAGCAGCTGTGCCTAGGCTGTTTGCTGGAGCAGTACCCTAGTGATGGTGGGAAGCGCTCAAGTTGGAGTGATCTCCTCTCACTCTCATCCTTCTCCTAAGCTGAATGCTCCTGTGCATGTGCTTGTACAGCACCCACACAGCGGGCTCTGGAATCACACTTGGGCTAAGGTGTGGCCCTTAGCCTGCTGCCCTGAGCTCCAAGGGAGGTGTCCGAGCATCTGAACATGAGTGCCTACAGACAGTAGCTGCAGAAGATACAGTGAAGGAAAAGGAATATGCTGGGGGACTTGAGACCCTTTCTCAGTGTATGTCCAGTACTACATCTGTATGAGATACAGTACCAACTCCTTTACCATGAGCTCATCATACCCAAATGCCCATTAGCCTGGAACACAGTGCCTGGTCTGGAAAGGGGGAGCTCAAGTGTGACAGAGGAAAGGTGAGGATGTGACTCCTTGCTCGTGGCTGCTCTGAGCACTGGGCTGAAGGACAAGGGTCCTTTTTGTGGGTCTCTCCTATGGGTTATCACCAGGACTATAGGTTTCGCTTGGCAACTGAATTTGTTGGAGCTTGGTGCTATGAAGGTGAGTTTCTTACCTTGGAGCCCTGGATGCCTCATGGAGCCCTGGATGCCTCATGGATGGACGGATGGACAGGCAGTGGTAGAGTACAAGTCTGGCAGAGACCAAACTGTGAGCTTTACTCTGTGTGTGCCCACATTACACCCAGCCCCAGCTTGCTCATCCTTTAAAATATCAGTGGAAAAATTGCATCTATTCAGAGCAGCTGGCATCTGTAATGCCAGAGCTGATACCACCCCTGGCGGGGGCTGATGACAAAATATCTGAGGAATGAGAGGAGGCTCTCTTTGTCTGCCCAAGCCTACATGTGTTCCTAGCTGCATGCAAAGCCAGTGGAGGAGCTGACCTATGGAGTGCTACTTCAGCCACCTAGGTGAAGCTGGCTGTTTTTTTGATGACAAAGTACTGCCAGAACACTGCAGCATACTGCCATGTCTGTTAAGGCATAGCCAGGTTTTGAAGAGCTACAGAGACTGTGGCTTTAAATGTCAGCAAAGCTTAATGTTAGATTGTAGTCTGGGTTATGGGATGTCTTCTATGGAAAGGAACACTGGGAAGTCTCTAGTCTGACCTCTTGCTCAAAGCAGGAGCAGCTGCGGGTTAAGACTAGGTTACTCAGTATTTTAAACAGCTAGGTCTTGAAAAGCTCTAAGGGTGGAGACCATGCAACCTCTCTGGATGCATTAAAAAAAAAAAAAAAAAAAAAACAGGAAAAAAAAAAGCTTTCCCAATAGAGCACCTTTTTCCCTTATATCCGGTCTAAACTTCTCTTTTCAACCAGAATTTCAACTTGTGTTCTTCCATCATGAAGTAAGATGACTAAAATGAATGATCTGGCTCCATATTCTCAATAACCTCGTCTTTGGAAAGCTGCTGTTAGGTCCTCCTGAAGACTTTCTGCAGGCTGAACGAGCCCTGTTCCTTTAGCCTCTTCTCATATCATATGTGATGGCTGGTTACAGTGCCCTGACCATCTTGAACTTAGGTTCTTTTCCCCAAACTGCTCCCTGGCCAGTGAGTTCCCAGAACATGTTTTTTTTTTTTTGCATGGATTTTTTTTTTTCCTTCCTAGGTGCAGAGCTTTGCACAAAGTCCTTGGTGAACTTCATACAGTATTCCTGTCAGCCCATCCCTCCAGCTGGGTCCCTCTAGATGGCAGCCCTGACCTTGAGGATGTCAGTTGCTCACCTCCCTGTGTTGCCAGCTGCAAACTATAATCAAATATGTTGTCCTTGCGAGGCCATTGATAAAGGTGTGAACAGGAAAACTCCCAGGACTGACCCATGCAGTAACTGTGACCCATTAACAACTGCCCTCTGAATCTGCTTGTCCAGCCATTTTTTTTGCATCTACCCACCCAAACCATAGCCTCTTAGCTTGGACACAAGAATATTGTAGCAGATAGTTTCGAAAGCTGAGGTTGGGCAGCCTCCACTGCTCTCCCCACATCCATAGATCCGGTGGTCTTATTGTAAAAGGCCATCGTGATGGTCAGGCATAATTTACAGACATGTAAGCAACTGACCTTTCCAAGTCACCTTCTCTTTTATGTGCCCAGAAATGTGCTCCAAACACATTTCTGTGTCTTTTTCATTTTTTTTTTTCTTCTGCACTTAAGAAAGAAACCTATTGGGAAAGCAAGGCCTTATCTTGACTTGTGTCTTGAGAGGATGAGGGGGGCCAGACTGGGCATCTGTCACAGGGCAAAATGCTAATAAGTTCTTATTTTTCTATACTGTCACATGTAATGCCAGTGTGAAAATACTCTGTGTGCCTGCCACGATAGTAAAAAGATCTCAGTCCAAATTCAGTTTTGATCTTAAGCAGAACTGACCTGGATCAGATGGCCTGTGACAGGTGAATTCATCTGCTCCTTGTCTCTGAAACCACCAGAGCTGCAGCTGGCAAGCTTGCTTGTACCCAAAGCAGGCAAATGCAGCAGAGAGCATGAAGCTCCCTGGCCTGACCTGAGCAGCACCTGGACCTCAGGGTTCTTTTTGAAGACGTTTGTTTTGATCAGTATCTGTTGAACAGCCCTGCTCTCCACTGGTATCGTGCTTGAGCTTGAGCTGTGCCAGCAGTACAGATATGCTTTTGGATCTCATCTGCTACTGCTGCTGCTTCAGCCTGTGCCCTGTGCTTGGGCAGTGAGGACTACCTGTGTCACATGTTCACACAGAAGAGAATCACAGAATCATTAAGGTTAGAAAAGACCTCCAAGACCATCTGGTACAACTATTCCCCTGCCACCAGCATTACCCACTAAACCATGTCCTTAAGCACCACATCCTTAAACACCCTCAGGGATGGTGACACCACCACCTCCCTGGGTAACCCATTCCAAGGCCTGAGTACTCTTTGTGAGAAGAAATATCTCCTAATTTCCAACCTGAACCTCTCCTGGTGCAACCTGAGGACATTCCCTCTATCCTATTGCTAGTTACCTGCAAGAAGAGGCCAACCCCCAGCTCCCCACACCTTCCTTTCGGGCAGTTGTAGAGAGCAATGAGGTCTCCCCTGAGGCTCCTCTGCTCCAGACTAAACACTACTTCAAATGATGATTGTGTCTTTGTGTCTTTAACCACTTGTGATCAACCCCAACCAGAGCAGCCTGCTGTTCCCTAGATGGGCTTCCAGGGCAAGTGTTTCCCACAGTACTGAGTTTACTGTCTGCCTCCATTACAAACTCCCTACTGGTGGAGTAATTCATGTGAGGGAGGAAAAGTAGGTATTTTTGCTGTCTGGAAACAAAATAGTCCTTTTAGGCTCCAGATCCAAATCCTTCAGTCATCTTCCTTGACCATTAGATCCCCTTAAATGCTTCTTGATGGTGCCAGCACTCCTAAGCCACTCCAAAGCACAACCCAGCCAGCTTTACTCACAGGCAAGGAGCAAGGACGGTAAGAACACACGGAAGAGGGCTGCAGAGTTCAGGACAGCTCTTCTGTGCCTGTCACAGTGGCTCCTTGCTTGGAAGCTGCCTTTGTGTACCAGGTCCCTCTCGCAGGGGGCTGTAATGCTTGGGCAGACAGGGAGAGAGCAAGGAGGTTGCAGCAGATGCAGCAGCCTTAAGTACAGTCTGGAGCAGAGTGTGCAGAGGGCTAAAAATGCTAGTGTGGGGCCAAGAGATGGGATGGACTGCAGTAGGATGGATGGAAGATGGAGATGTGCAGCTGAGCTGGCACCTGGCCATGGGGCTGTCATTTTGCCACTATCTCCCCCACTGTGGCTGTTACATGTCCTCTGCCCCTCCAGGCTCTTCCCATCCCAAATGCTTTCCCTGACCCCCCCCCCACTTCTGTAGAGCATTGTTGTCCTACTCATACAGGGGTTCAACTGATGCTGCGCCGGCCTGCAGCAGTTCTTCGACCACCACATGTTTGTACTGGAGCAGGAGGAGTACAAGAAAGAAGTTCATTGACTTTGTGATGGAGCTGTCTGCTTGCATTGAGATTACAGAAATGGTGAGTTTCTTACGTATAAATCTAATCTGCAAAGGGCTTTTGGGAGTGCTTGCATGGTAAGTATTCAATACAATGTTTGTGAATCTTTTGGGTCTCCTTACTTCCTCCCTTCCTTTAAACATGCCCCTTGTGAATTCTTATTTACTTATGAGAAACATACTCTGCCTTCTTAAAGAGATACTGCTTTTATTTCTGTGTTCTTTCTTTCTTCCACATGATTCTGAACTGTCATTTCATTGTCTTATTTACCCCCACTGTATTTTACCTTTGCATATTTGCTCCTTCTCAGGTTTTCTGATAAGTTTTAACTCAAATGTTAAAAAGTCTCGTGTCTGCTTCTGGATAAAGAGAAGTCACTCTTATATTCCAAGAATTTACTGAAGAGTTTTGGCATTTTTTTTCCCCCAGCAAATATCTGGGTTGTTCAAAACACTGTTTATTGTAAATCTGGTGCTTTTGATTATCTTGCCAGTTACTCACAATAATCTTGCTTACTTGCTCATCCCAAGCTAATTATCTATAAAATGAACTCCAGTGCTTTAATTTTAGAATTTGTTTCACTCTATATTCTTATTACTTGAATCATCTTGTTTTTAAATTTTTATTTTTTCATTTTTTAATTTGGCCCATGGGCATCTTTTCCATCCTGGAAGAGGAGTACATGTTTCCCAAGGCAACTGACACCTCTTTCAAGAACAAGCTCTATGACCAGCATCTGGGCAAGTCCAGCAATTTCCAGAAGCCCAAGCCTGCCAAAGGAAAGGTTGAGGACCACTTCTCCCTGGGGCACTATGCTGGCACAGTGGACTACAACATCACTGGCTGGCTTGAGAAGAACAAGGACCCCCTGACTGAAACTGTCACTGGGTTATACCAGAAGTCTTCACTGAAAACATTGGCCTTACTGTCTGCCAACTATGATGAACAGATGACTTCTGTCATAGACAAATGTTGAGTGATTTTGTGGCTCTTTTAAATATACATAACTAATACAGTTAAGTAAATAAAAATACCAGATCTACCCTTTCATTCATCTGTTCATTAGATCAAAAATGACCACTACTGGTGTTCCAGAGTATTGATCATTTTTTTCCATCTTCATCTTATTTGCTAGCTCTTATGATTAGCTCCTGACCACCAAGGTTAATTTTAAGACAGGAGCAACATTTATCAATCGTATTCACTGTTAGAATTTATTTACTTTACTGATGTTTATACAGGATTGTAGAATAGAATGTTCACTAGAAAAGTAAGGATAAACTTCTGAATCTTCAGTTTTCATTGGAGTCAAATCATATTGAGGACATTTGCAGTATGTTTTGAAGAGAAGACGCAAGATCTAATACAGAGACTGAAAACAATTTCTCTTTTTTTTTTTTCCCTCTTTTTTTTTTTTTTTTGTCAGGAAATCCTAAATAAGCAGATGTAGAACTTGCGAACAACTTATCCTGTTTTTGTGCATTGTGTAATTCCTGATGAAACAAAGACTCCAGGTAATTCATAAAGTATAAATTAGAAAGACTAAGCTCCACACTGGAAAAATCAGTATACTCCCATGTTATTCTGTCACAGGCCTGATGTATCACCAGCTTGTTCTACACCAGCTGAGATGTAATGGTGTCCTGGAAGGCATTCAAACCTGCAGGAAAGGATTTCCTAATTAGAAAATATATTGGGATTTTAAAGAGAGATCTGTAATAACATCCTTTGTTTGCTTCAAGCCCCATTCATTTGAGTGAACGGTCTTCCTAAAAAGTCAATGATATGATATAACTCTTCAGGAAAACACTTTCAATATTTAACAATTATGGAAAGCATGAAGATATAGCTAATAGCATGGCCCATGCAAGCAGTGCCCACCCAAATGCCTTGTTGAAAACTGTATGCCAAGAGCTATTTTCACTTAATTTATATTCATGTGAATGTTTGGGCATTCTTAGCTTAAAATCTCAAATTTGACACAAGCACAGTTCAACAAAAATATGGAGGATGGTCTATATGAAGTCCTATATTTAAACATTACCTAATAGAAGTTTGAAGAATGTTGTTTAAATAATTTTAACGATAATAGTTTTACTGAAAGGAAATACTTGATACCACTTTTTTGATGAAATTACAAGCTTGACTGGCAAATGAATCTACATTAAAAAAAAAATAGACCATCATGACTTCTAACTTAGTTCTTAGTTTTTACAAGGCTAACATTTCTACAGCACTTTAACCACATTGATTTATAGATTAAAAACAAAAACAACAAACAAAACCACTCAAAACACAATTTTAACTCAGGATCTGCTATGCAAGTAAGACATTTATAAAGGGTTGGTAAATTTAGGGCAACACTGCTCGGTGTCATCTTTTTGTTGTATATGAGCAAAAGCAAATGTAGCATCAGATCTCTAAGGACAAAGAAAGTACACCAAACTTCTAGGACCAGATGGGCTATCTTGGAAAGCAGGGACACTGAAAATGGCAGAGGTGGCATCTTGGAAACTGAAGATTTCTCAAGGCAGTGATGTGGCTAGGCAGATTTGTGCATGTGTAAACAGCGGCTTGCTGAAAAGAAAATAATGTAAAATGATCTCCCAACATAGGTTTAGAGAGTCCATTCCCAGATACTATGTCCAATTCTCATTTATATACTTCAGGAGGAATGTGCAAAGCTGGCTGTGGTTTAGAAAACAGCTACAGGATAAATGTGTACTCAAGTGCAGTGAGAGATTTAAATCAAACTATTTAACTCATTAAATTGTATGTTAATGGAATATGTTAACAAACCTACAGAGAGGAATGTTTCTGAATAAGCAGAAAACTGTCATCCTGTTTTCTAAGAGACAGACTCAAAGCAGAAGCCCAAGCGTGGGACATGAAAAAAGATTCTGTCAAGCTAGAAGTGAGGTATACCTTTCTTACAGTGAAGGCGAATAGTTTACTGGGGACAACTGCAAAGTCTGAAGTCTTCAAATAAGACTGAGATGCAATGAGAAAACATTCATTGTATTAAAAAATATGTCCAGCAATGAATGTTCTCTGTTCTTTGATTGCAGGTGTTCTTCAAGGCAGGTCTGCTAGGTGTCCTTTCCAGGACACATCTTTCCAGGAGATGTGAGATGATTGCTGTTAGAAATGGCTCAGGATTCAAATTATGATTAAATAAAAAATAGGATTTATTAAAAGAATATAAAAGAATAGAGGTAAGCAAACAGCGCTGGGTGCACCGGGAGTCTCTGCTCCACCAGGACGCACACCAGCCACATCAAGTAGCTGATTTTTATGCTCCTAGACTAATACATATTCATTACTATTTCTAAAAAAAACCCAGATTATTATAATTAGCTTCCGGGGTCCAGTCCCTCCTACTGGAGCATGCGCATCAGTCTCCTCTTGGGGTCTCTAGGGGTCTTTCATGCTGAAGGCTCGTAGTCTTCCTCTCCAAGTCCTTCCCCTTTGTACTACTTTGGCACCGTACCAAGTTTATGAACATTTTCTGCAGGTCTTGTCTCCCAGCCGTCCTTCAGCTTCTTTTTTTCTTCTTCTTAATCTCTTGGCCAGAGGTTTGCATAGTATCCCATAACAGTCACTAGTTGTTATCAGTTGTTGTGAAACCCCCAGACATCAAAGACTTCATACAAACACAAATAACTTTCTTATTGACACTTCACCAGTAATTAAAACATTCTTCACCAGCCATTCACAGGGACAGTCACACCTATAGCAGTGTTAAGTTAATCTCGAAGAAAACAAAAAAAAAGGCTGTAACTGTTAGAAACAGAAGTCCGGAATAACAAAAGCAAACAGGTTCATAAATTTGAGGAGTATTTTCTGAAGACTTGATAAATTGACTAGAATGAGGGGGAGACTGGGACACACTGCATCTGTGGTTCAAGAATTAAATTGCCAGTGCAGGGCCCAGAGGCAGACAGGACTGTTCTTTATGGACACAAATTGTTAAAACATTCCTCACAATTGCCTAGGACAACTGATAACATGCACAGGCTTTACACAGGCCATACCTCAGGAGACTTGAATTAAAAAGAATATTATACCAAAGATGTGTGTCTGCTGCAAGGTTTGGCTTTTCAATGTGTTTTCTTTCACTGTACTTGTAGATTGCTTGGCTTTCGGGGAGTCTGTCTTTTGCACGCAGTGCAACATCCATACATTCTCAAATGTTAAGCACTGGCCGTGGACGAAGCTATACTTCAAGATAAAACTCCTCTTAAAAAGTGTGGAAACTGAGAAGGAAATGGCCATGATGAAAGAAGAGTTCAATAAAACTGAAGAAGAATAGGCTGAATTGGAAACCAAGAAGAAAGAACTGAAAGAAAAAATGGTGACTGGAGTAGAAGAAAAAGGACCTGCAGCTGCATGTGCAGACTGTATGCAATTTAAAGTCATTTTGGACTCCACAAATTATATCAGTTTTGTTTGAGTGTTTAGGAAAAAGCTGAATGGAAATTCTCTTTCATATTTCAATTGCATAACAAGCAAATTATTCCTGCAAGTGTCAGTTCCAATGTGTGACAGTGATACATATTCCTATTTTCTCTAAAATGGAAAATGAAACTATGGCTGATGCTGAAGAAAGATGTGACCAGCTGAGCAAAACAAATTTCCAGACGGAAGCAAGAATAACAGAGGTAATGGAAAAAATAGAGGATGAAGAGAGATAAATGATTATCTCACAGCCAGAAAGACAAAACCGGAGAACAAATGTTCTGAACTGAAGAAATTTATTGGTGATCTTGAGTTAACGTTGACCAAGGTTGAAAAGGAAAAGCTTGCCACAGAAAACAAGGTACTTTTTATTTCTGCTATTTGCATGTCTAATAATAGTTGCTCTTTCTATATTTAGGATGGAAAGGAGCAGTCTGCTTGAAGAATAACATGTTGTGCAAGGGAATATGTAAGCCTGGTGTTAAATTTGTCCACTTCAATTGTGCAGCAAAACTAACCTATAAGCATACAAAAATGCACTAAAATGAAAGTTTGGAATTGCTTTGTGACTTCAAAACAATTGATATATAAGCAGAGAGACTTTATAGTTTGACCATAGAATGCAATTAGTTGTCTCTTCAGAAGTCTAGAAACATGTTTATTGCTTTTGTGTCATCACTAGCCTGCATAAAAGCCAAAATTTTTAGTGACCTCTAAATATTTTGCCTTACAATAGGTTAAAATCTCACTGTAGAAATGACAGGTTTGGACGAAACTACTGTGAAATGACTAAAGAAGAAGAAGACCCTGAAAGAAGCCCACCAGCAGGCACTGGATGACCTGTAAATTGAGGGGTACAAAGTTCATATCATCACTAAAGCCAGGATCAAGCTGGAGTGACAAATGTACCACATGAGAACGTTCAACACAAGGAGAAGGGGCAGATTCTTAAGTTGTTCCCTCAGCCATCTTTGTATTATGTTACAGGTTGAAGGGACTCTAGATCAGAAAAGAAGTTTGTATGGATCTTGAATGAGGAAATAGAATGCTTGAATGAGATTTAAACTAGCCCAGTAAATATTAGTAGATTTGGAGAATTATAACATTTAGTTCAAAAGATAAGGAAGTATGAGAAAAAAAAAGAATGCTAAATTTACTATTTGCTTTTAACTGGACATAATTTCTTTTTATTAAAAGATCATTTCCTTTACAGGAAAGACTTTGAATTTAGCCATATGCAAAAAAAAAAAAACAAAAAAACAAACACAAACAAAAACCAAAACAAACAACAACAACAAAACGAAACAAAAAAAACGACGAACAGCAGAATTCAGGTATTCAGTTGCAGAAGATCAGAGAATTACAGGCAAGAGACTTATAAACTACTTCACCATTACTGTTTATTTGAATAGCAGTAACATGAATAATGTTTGGCCCCTGACTGAGTCACTGTAATTACCTTGATGTGTTGTAAGAATTTTCTCCATGCAAGAGAAAGTTGTTATCTATGGTTAGTATGGGCTGATCCATAGATCTCTTCCCATTGGTAATAGTTTGCATGCAATAACAAAACTTTAAATTCAAAATGATTTTGGTTTGCTTATAGTTTCTAAAACAATGGGCTAGGTATTACACTATGACAGTATTTTTATGAAGCATAATAATTTTTAAGCATTAAGCATTAATAAATTAAGCACTTATTATTAGTTACCTTATTTACCCGGCATCAAGCCCACTTGAGGGAGCCTCCAGGACCCGGCAGCCCTCGCGAGAGAGGCTGACGAGGCGTAGGCGGAGCCAGCAGCGCCCCCTCCCCGGCCGTTCAAAAGCTGCCCTTAGGCAGCTGGCGCGGCAGTTCGCGCAGGCAGGGCGAGCGGGGAGGGCGTCCCGTCCCGTCCCGTCCCGTCCCGTCCCGTCCCGTCCCGTCCCGTCCCGTCCCGTCCCGTCCCGTCCCGTCCCGTCCCGTCCCGTCCCGTCCCGTCCCGTCCCGTCCCGTCCCGTCCCGTCCCGTCCCGTCCCGTCCCGTCCCGTCCCGTCCCGTCCCGTCCCCCCAGACGGGTCCCTATCTCTAAGAGGAAAACGGATCCTAGCCCAGGAGCTGGTTGGATTCGTTAATAAACGAACCCAACGAGGGCTTTAAACTAGGTAAGAGGGGGGATGGAGCTAAAACAAGGCTTGTTGGAGCTGTGCCGGGGGAACAATGGCAAGGCCAGAGGAGAAGGCAATGGCCCAACTGAAGTGCATCTACATTAATGCACGCAGCATGGGTAACAAATGAAAGGAGCTGGAAGCCATCGTGCAGCAGGCGGGCTACGACTTGGTTGCCATCACGGAAATGTGGTGGGACCACTCTCATGACTGGGGTGCTGCAATGTCTGGCTATAGGCTCTTCAGAAGGGACAGGCAGCACGGAAGGGGTGGTGTTGTGGATCTCTACATTAGAGAGTGTTTTTACACGAGAGTTATATAAAAAAGGATGGCCAGCAGGGCTAGGGAAGTGACTGTCACCCTGCACTCAGCTCTGGTGAGGCCGCACCTCGAGTACTGGGTTCAGTTTTGGGCCCCTCGCTACAAGAAGGACATCGAGGTGCTTGAGCGGGTCCAAAGAAGGGCGACGAAGCTGGTGAGGGGCCTGGAGAACAAGTCCTACGAGGAGCGGCTGAAGGAGCTGGGCTTGTTCAGCCTGGAGAAAAGGAGGCTCAGGGGCGCCTTATTGCTCTCTATAAGTACATTAAAGGAGGCTGTAGCGAGGTGGGGGTTGGTCTATTCTCCCACGTGCCTGGTGATAGGACGAGGGGGAATGGGCTAACGTTTCATCAGGGGAGGTTTAGGTTGGATATTAAGAAGAACTTCTTGACTGAGAGGGTTGTTAGGCATTGGAATGGGCTGCCCAGGGAAGTGGTGGAGTCACCATCCCTGGAGGTCTTTAAAAGACGTTTAGATGTAGAGCTTAGGGATATGGTTTAGTGGGGACTGTTAGTGTTAGGTCTGAGGTTGGAGTAGGTCATTTTAGAGGTCTCTTCCAACCTAGGTGATTCTGTGATCCTCGTGGATCTGTGATTTCTGAAACATCTTCATAGACAGCTAGGCCAAAGAACATGACATTGAGTGGGTTTATCATAACCCCTATCATGCACTAGGTTCTGGCAAAACTCAAACTATAAAATGGACTGTTAAAGACAACTCTAAGAGCAATGGGTGCTCAGACATTCAAACATTGGGATATATGTTCAGCAAAGGCCAGGTAGTTATTCAACTCTAGGGAAGATGCCAATCAAGCTGGCCCTGCCTAATCAAAATTGTTATGTACTGTAGAAGGGGATAAAGTCCCTGTAATGCAAGTAAAAAACATGCTGGGAAAGACAGTATGGGTTATTCCTGCTTCGGGCAAAAGCAAACCCATCTGTGTACCTCAAGGGGATTTGATATTGGGTAAGAATAGCCAATGGTTATAATTGTGTGATGTTAATTGTTATATTAAAATGTATGTCATCATTACTATGGTTACTATCTGCCATGTCAATGGTATTATAATAAGAATTAAACAGATTAATAATGAATGAATTTTGATGGAACTGAGCAAAATGCAATAGTGATAGAGCTGGAGAAGTGCAGTGGTGATGGACCAGAAATGGCTTCACCGTGCAACTATCCAGCACTACTCACCATCTCGCCAGCCCTGAAGGACTGCAATGACAGCTGGAGCCCAAAGTCACGGACTGAACAAACTCAACAGACACTTTAGAAGGATGGCCCATGGACTAAAGGAATGATATCTCTGTATATATCAAAAGACACGAAAGGCAGGTATTAACTAGGATGCATTGAAAACTGTGGAACCTGAACATCATGTAGATGGTATGTAATAAGGGGTAGATATTGTTCTGGTTTCAAGTAGGATAGAGTTAATTCTCTTCCTAGTAGCTGTCATGGTGCTGTGTTTCAGATTTAGGAGGAGAATAATGCTGTTAATGCACTGATATTTTAGTTGTTGCTGAGCAGTGCTTACACTAAGCCAAGGACTTTTCAGCTTCTCATACTGCCCTTGAAGTGAGGAGGTTGAGGGTGCACAGGAAGCTGGGAGGGAACTCAACTAGGACAACTGATGCCTATAGGGTTGTTCTGTATGCCTAAGGGATGTTCTATAACATATGGCATCATGCTGAACAATACAACTGGGGGAGGTTGGCTGGGGGGGGATAATTCCTGGGGTCTGGCTTGCAGGTGGTGAGAAATTATGGTAATTAATTTTTTTCCCTCCCTTTTCTGACTTACCAAACTGTCGTTATCTCAACCCATAAATTTTACCTTTCTTGTTTTCCTGATTCTCTCCTCCATCCCACTGGGGATGGGGGAAGTGAGCAAAGGGATGTGTCACACTTAGCTGCCCGTTGGCTTAAACCACAACACACATACACAGAACAAAATAGCTGAACAGACATTTCTCATTGGGAAACCACAACCAGAATTATGGTGGCTGGTCCCACTGGGGAGAAAAGCTTCAAACTACTATTCAAATCTGGAGGATTTTGCTGCTAACATTACAGTTCCTTTGATAACTATTTCCAGTGTAACAAGCATATGAGACTATTAAGGTTCAAGTCCTCATCTGCTCAGAGCTGAAACACTGAGTAGCTCAGAAATGGGCTAACTTTATAAAGTGCTACACGTAGAGTAGAAATACTAAACTTGTAATGCAACTGTATGTAGGCTGTAGGTTAAGAGGCTGGACCAGTCTTGTTCTCCCATGCAGTGACATAGCAGTGAAACTAAGCATTAATTTTGTAATTTTGTTTACATTGTATGTTTGACATATCATATTTGTTTGTACATTGGTATATTTTCACCTTCATTTGACAAGGTAAGGAAATTCAAGCAAGAGTCATGGAAGAGGCCTGCCAAATATCTAAACTTAAAGGTCAAAATTGCTCAAACATGGTGATGACAGCAGTAAGACTTGAACCCAGATTTCTTCTTATGTTTAACTTACAAAGAAAATTACTCTCTTCTAAACACAAACATTTGGAACATCTTAAGTGGCATATATCTGTTTTATTGATAGTGGTACAGAAGCAGAGTTGACAGAAAATGCTTGTGTCCATCAGCAAATGGAAGATTACTTCCTACCAGTATAAATCTAGCTACTGCAAACCCACAACTGGAACGATACTTTGTGTAAGTTCCTTTTGTCTGAGGGGACGCTCATAGAATTATAGAATCATAGAATCATTCAGGTTGGAAAAGACCTCTGAAATCATCTAGTCCAACCTTTAACCTAGTACAGGTCCACCACTAAACCATGCTAATAAGTTCTACATCTACACATTTCTTGAAGACCTCCAGGGATGGCAGCCTGTTCCAATGCCATACAACCCTTTCAGTGAATAAATTTCTTCTAATATACAACCTAAACCTCCCCTGGTGCAACTTAAGGCCATTTCCTCTCATCTTATCACTTGGTGCTTGGGAGAAAATCCCAATCCTTACCTCGCTACAATCTCCTTTAAGGTAAATAAAAAATACAATATGGCCCACCCTGAGCCTTCTTTTTTCCAGCCTAAACAACCCCAGTTCCCTCAGCCACTCCTCATAAACCTTGCTCTGTAGACCCTTCACCAGCTTCATTGCCCTTCTCTGGACAGGCTCCAGCACCTCAATGTCCTTCACAAAGTTCCATGCCCCCCGTTCTCTCCCTAGCGCTCAGGGATGTGGCTGAAGATAAAGCAGGCAGCGGAATGTCCTAAGCTCAGGGACAGGTGCACGCCTTCAGGGACAACTTGCTGTAAGTGCAGCTGGGCAGTGCTGGTGGGACCGAGGCCTTGTGTCCCCAGCAAATTCACAGCTCCCTCCTGGGAGTGCACCAGCACTCCCCATCTCCTGCACCCTCAGGCCCTGCAGCCTTGACAAGAGTCATTCCCAGAAGGGGCTTGCTCAGAGAGCTCTGGAGGTTGCCTGTGCCAGGAGGATCACTTTGCCATTTGTCTCCCTTCATTGGCAGTGTCAAAAGCTAAAAATAGCTGCCTCTTGCAAGACTCCTGCGTGAAGCCATGCCTGCTTGTGTAGATGATATGCTTCCACTAATAGCGCTTGAAGACATTCCTCAGCGGGTAGCTTGCCTTCTATATCTCACTGCAATGCGTTGCCATGTAGGAGCTGGACAACTGTGCTGTGTCCTAAGATGGCAGATGCTATTCTTATCCCAGAAAGGCCTGCTCCGGCACAGCTCCTTTGTCAGCTGAAATGTGAAAAATCAGAAACAGGCCTGAGTGTGCTCCCACTTGTAAGAGTATAAATCAAGTGACCCCTCTGAAGCCAGTGGAATGACAGTGAGTGAAACCAGTGCCTGGGTGCTCACTCTGCTCTCCTGGGACACGCTGTCCCATCGGGAACATGGCAGCTGCACAGGTGCTTCAGCAGTCTGTTTGGGGTGGGTGGGGACATCCCTTCCCTTGGACATCAACAAATGGAAGCAAAGCCTGCAGACCTGAAAGCTCACATTTTGCTCATCATCAAGATGACCCCAATCCATGAACCCCTTCCCTGGGTGAGGAAGGCAGAGCCAGGGCTTGTTCCAAGCTTCCTGCAGGGCCAGCAGCAATGCAGAAATTCACCTCCCCTCTCTCAACATTATGGTGCAAGAATAGCACATGAACATACTCAGATCGAATATGAAATTGGGACCCCAGTGCATTGTAATGTGAGTGGCTAAATGTGCCTTCATGCAGCTCTTGTCTCAGAACAAATTAATAACTGAAAAACAAGACAGAGAGGTAGTGAGAGTACTGAAGTGGGTTCAGAATTGTGCTGGGGAATGCAGGGAGGAGTCTGGTAGGAAAAGACTGAGCTGGATGTGTGTGAAGAAAGCGGAGTGAGTGAGAAGATGGTAGAGTATATGAGGACTGGAAGAAATGTCAACATCGACATCAGGTTTAGGGAAGAAGAGTCAGAAGAAATCTATGGAAAAACTTGGTAAATGCTACAATCATAATCTGCACATATCCATCTAACTTGAAGTCCACATCAAAAGAGCTTTGTAAAGACTCACTTTAGTTTTGAATAAATTATTTAATTGTATTTGTTGTGTCAGGCAAAGCAGTATGTTATTTTATTGTGACTGCTCATGGCACATCCAGGCTCATCACTCATACCCATACACCACACTGCAGTGCAGCCAGCACTTCTCAAACTTAGGAGCGCAGGCTATGTGGGGAGAATACAGTGAAAAGCCAAGTGCTTCCAGAGGGTTAAAGACTACAGTGACCATTGTTCCCAGATGGAGTCTGGAAGCCCCCAAACACCACTGGCCCTTGGCCACTCCTGGCCTGCTCCCCAGGCAGGGAAGGTCCCAGGATCTGCTTTTCTCTTTAGGGGCTAAGCATATGAGGCCCAAATGGTCCAAGTTTATGTGCTGCTCCTAGTACAATGGTCCACCTCACAGGTCACTGCGTGAACGCAGCTTGTGGCTACCACCTGTGCATATTTGCTGTTGTTGTTGTTGTTTGGCTGGTTGTTTGTTAGTTATTTTTTTTTTGTCAGTTACAGAATATGTCAAGAAAAAAACAACAATCCCAGAGGTGGAAGAGGAGATGGGAGCAGAGGCTGAGCAACTCTGAGGAATGTCAGGAAGGAGGATGTAGGTACATAACAGGGAAAGGACTGACAGCCTCCACTATAAAGCCTGCTGGATTATCAGGATCAAAGTGGGACACTGGTGTGAGGGAAATAAAAAATGAATTTCTCACTGCTTTATAGAGAATAAGGGTCACAGAATCACAGAATCACAGAATTTCTAGGTTGGAAGAGACCTCAAGATCACTGAGTCCTATCTCTAACCTAACACAAACAGTCCCCACTAAACCATATCCCTAAGCTCTACATCTAAACGTCTTTTAAAGACTTCCAGGGATGGTGACTCCACCACTTCCCTGGGCAGCCTGTTCCAATGTCTAACAACACTTTCGGTAAAGAACAACCCTTTCGGTAAAGAAGGTTTTTTTTGCATTGGCACTCTATTTTTGGAGTCAGGCTGCTTGTCACCTGATAAGGGCTTGTACAAAGGTCTTGAGAAAAATATTGGTCACAGCCATAAAGAAAGATCTCTCAGAGAAAAGCTTAAAATAAATGCAGCTGATGGGGTTATATAGATCTGGACTGCAGGAAATATAGTGAGCACAGCAGCAGTATTCCAGTTATAGCAGAGCAAATTGCTGAAAACATTCCTCTACAGACACCGTTCATCAGTAAAGCCACGTTCAGCTTCACACTGTTAGGAGCGCTGGGAGAGGAGGAAATCAACTAGCACCTGAGCCTTGCTGTTTGGGTTCCATGACAATACTCTTATACCTCCATCAGAGCAGACACCACTGCCACGCCATTCCAGAAGTTCCCTGAAGTAACACAATATTGCTTGGAGAAATACAATTCAGTACAGATTGAGGGTTTTGAATCAGGACACTAAGGGGTAAAATCCAGGCTTAGCAAATATATGAGACAGAGAGCAGTGCACAGTTTTGGGATGGCTCTGCTCTTAGACGCTACAACCAAGATTACCTGGAAAGACTTCTCAGGGAGAAGCAGGCACTTTGAGGGACCTGAAAGACTTATTTGGAAGCAAGGCAACATACACCTTTATTGCTTGACAAAGCAGTAGTTGACTGAAGTTGGCACTGCCCTAGAGATCAAATAGATTTGGCATATATTTTTTCAGGCCACAGTCCTCCCTAAGATGCAAAGTAATTTTCTCTTTTCCTTTGGGCTCAATGTTCAATTCTCCTTTGGGATGAACTCAAAACTTTTCAAGTACCTTGTGACAACCCACTTAGAGAAAAAGATCTGTCCCTAAAAGACTTTAGTGGGATGGGCAGGTAATCTCCACAGGACAGGGAATGTAAGCACAGTTAGACCTCCCACGTGCTGGTCTTCCACACTGGGCACCAGTACCCTGACACCCTGGCTGCTGGCTATGTGATGGCACGTCACCATCACCATCTGCTGCTGGAGCTGGTCTGATTTGGTCTTCAGAGGGAACAGGGACTTGTATGCTTCCCTCTGCATCTCAGATGGACGTAGAAAGCAATTAAAAAATATTTAGGCTGCCTACCCATGGATAAAATATGAGGCTGTTGACAAATTTCCTGGGGAAGCAAAAAGAACTTTTCTGCAACAGAGTAAGTTAGTATAGATAACACTGCTGGATTTTTTTTTTCTGTGTATCCTACTGGTAACTGCCCTGCAGTGACTCTGCCAGTCAGAAGGTCCTATGGTGTGTCCCAACCTTGAAGACTCTAACGTTTAAAGGGAACAGGATTATATAAATTCCAGTACCAGTATATTTCCACTTAGAGCACTGAAACCTACCCAGAAGTGGGATTTGTTCATCTGTCACAGATGAGTGTCAGCATAGGAATATATCACTTCATTGCTCCCTTTTTTAGGATACAGTTGTTGCTAGTGCTAATATTATGCACCTAATCCTGATTTTCCTTCCCTCCCCCTTTTGCCACTTGCTCTCTTTTTTCTCTGTCTTACCCAGAGGTCTCCTAGTCTGCCCACCCCACTCCCCTGCTCTGTAACAGGAGCCCCTCAGCTGCTTAGGTGGATGATAGAAAGGTCATCCTGAACGTCACCTCCTCGGCCAGCACCCACTACCCAGATCTGTTCCACTAATGTTTGCTGGGAACACGAGAAGTATGAGTAATGCTGCAACTCTAATAGTCAAGAGCTGCTCATCCTCGAATAACAGGTTTTACCTGTCTCTCCACTGCTCTGTTAGCTGTTTTGTGCCACTCCAGTCTCACTCACTGTCATTTTGCTGAAAGCCACATTAGCCTTGTAAGCCAGGCTGTGTAGTCATCAGTCATAAAAACCTTTTATGCAGCTGAAACCAAACATCAACATCTCTGTCCATACATTGTCTTTGAGCTGTGCACAGACCAAACCCTATAAAAATCTCTGAAAGGAGTACCAGGGTTAGGAGATAAGCATGCTACCAGATGGTGAATATAACCAGATGCTTAATACTGGCCACAAAGGACAAACAATGTTAGGAATGATTAGGATCAACTGAGAACAAAGCAGAAATCATTTTCCTGGGCCAATAAACCACAGCCCACACTATCCACAATTCTGGCCTGTTCAATTAGAAAGATGATAAAATTGATGGGAGCCCTGGAGACAGGCTGTCCAGACTATGATGTTTTACTCTGGAAAAGGAACAACCAGGTGGGAAGATGATATGTTTACATGAAATTATAAGTACATTGGAAATGTAATTATAATGAAATTGGATTTTCACCAGTCCTATATACACTCATTCACAGAATGCCAGACAGAATGCTGCTTTAAGCTGACATGGCTGTCTATTTATTCTTAAATTTATGAGACTGCTTCTGCATGATGCTGTCTTTCTGCTCTGGTTTTCCCATGACTGAGCAAGCCTTACAGAGACACTCATTGTTATCAGATGGGACATACGGATGCTGTTTCACATCCTCTCAAATGGGCTGAGGCTTCTGTATAGCAGCCAACAAAACAAGTTATTTAGAAATAAGATTCTCTGAAGACCTAAGGAAAGGGAAGGAAGGAAGGAAGTAAAAGAAAAGCCTACTGTTTAAGAAAATCTTGCTGTAGTCATCAGTTTTATGAAGCAGGGGATAACAGTCACATAATGATACCAGCAAAGCTATCTGTGGTGCCCTACTACAAGAATTCATACTGGAACAGTGGGTAGTGCTAAACAGCTGCTCCCAGAAACTACACTCACAGCTTTCCCCATCTACACTGCCAGCTGCAAACCTGGAAAGCCAATAATCTTCCCATACTTCTCTGCTCCAGTTCAGCCACTTCCACTTCCTCTACAGGAACAGGCTGGTGCTAATACCTCACATCTAAATTGATAAACAAAGATTACTCAAGTGCTGTTTTATCAGATAACAGGTAGCAATATGCAAGGGAGAAGACAACTTGAGACAACATTAGAAAAGGAAAAGATAGCTTGAGACAATGTCAGACAGCTTTTAATTAGGAAGCATCCTAGTGCTAAAAAATCTATCTAAGGGAGTTCTGTGAAACAAATGAAGTTAAAGTGAAGCTGGTGTTTATTCTGAATAGGTTTGCTGTACAATCAGTTTCTTTCATACTGGTTACTAGTCAGGATGTTCTTCCTTTTGAGATTTTAAGAGAATATCTTTTAATTCCTATGAAAATAGGAGATGAGACATAGCAGATGCACAAAAATCTTGGAATTTCTCAACATCAGGTCCCATTTGGTCCCTATGAGAGAAATCTAACTTCAGAAGCAAGTCCAGACAAAGCTGCTTGCCACTGATTCTGTCACCTGTATGATGGCATCTAGAGACAGTTGGTAACATATCAAACATTGATGTGTATATAAACATTGATAATACGTATATAAATTCTATGTCGTGAGTCATGTTTTATGAGATTGGAGACCAGTCATCCAGCAAGCTGATTAGGTTGAAGCAGGGTAGAGTAATCATCAGTAAGTACCTAAAATGTTCAGTTGACTTAATTTCAACTTAGCTTTGTGATGTCTACATCACAGATGTCAAAAGTAGAATCCAGACTCTCCCAATTGAGAAACTCTCTCCCTGGCAGAAGCTGGTTGGAGATAACCTATTGAAGGTGTACAAGGAAATGTGACAGGACTGACCAAGCTGTGCAATGTCAATGAGAGCCACGGCTTTGCCTCATCCTCTTTCCTCTAATGCTCCTGTAGTGGATGAGTGTGCTCACTGTCTCCTTTCCCCAAAGTTCTGCAGACTGGTTGGTATTTCTGCGATGGAAGACAGGACACATCCTAGCATGGAGCATGTTGCTGAGTAAATGGTAAAATTCAGGGAACATTTCTTGGTGTTTTTACTGAGTTTGTTCCTGTTAAAAGATTTGCTGCTCAACTGGACGTGGAGGATGGCGTGGGTGGGGGGTGAAAGGGTTTTAAAGAAATGACTAGAGCCATGTCTTGATGGCATCACTGCTTTTTCCAACACAAAAGTAACACTGGTGTCGCATATGAGACCTTTCTTCACATAGAACAGACAGGAGATGGGGACACAGGGAGATGGTTTCTACTGCCTTACTCCTGCAGCCAAAGAGGGAAGAGAATCCTTCTCCCAGTTGAACAACAGTGGTTGATAAATCATTCTAATTCATTCTTTCTCCTAGTGCCATAAGGTAAAAGGTTTTACACTGTGTTTCTGTAGAACCAATTGCAAGCCTCTGAGAGGCTGTGGAGGTTTTCTGAGATGATAAAGTAATCTACTTTGATCCCCTTGCCTCTTCGTTTGACTGCCTTCATATCAGATTACGTAACTCAACTGCATAGATCACATTACAGGTGGATAGTAGAGCAGCAGTGAACTCAGTGGGTTTCCATATATTTTAGTTAAGTAGAGAATAGGAATATAGGAAGGAACTCCAAATCCCAATATCACTCTTGCTTCTGGAGATGATGATGCAAGACCTATAAGAAATGCACAAGTATTCATCATGAAAGTTTTGCTTCTTTCATGTCCACTGTCCCTAGTGGGGGGCTGGGCAGAACCTCACTGATGTGACAGTTTCCGAGTACTGCCTAATCTGAATTTAAAATTTTTGCTCAAATACAGGACAGAAGTTTTTAAGAAAAGTTGTCTTTGAAAGGTGGCTTGTTTTATATTCCCATATCATCTGAAATTCACAGTGAGAGTTTAGATCTGCTGCCTTGCACAGAATCAGGTCAGCGTGATAAGAAGGTATCTGGATCAAACAAAGAAATCCATGCTGGGGTTAATCTTCCATACTTCAGTAAGTACTAGGTACTAGGTTTGCGATCTCCCTTCCATGGTCAATGGAGAGAAAAGAACTCCTCCAGAAGAAGCTAAGCTGAGGTAGGTTTCTTAACTGTCCTTTGGATTTATCTGTTTTTCTCTTTTAGCTATGAAGGTGGCCCAGGAGACTATCTCAGAGCTAGTCATCAATTACTTTCATATGGTTACAGGTAGAAGAGGAATCCTATCACCCGTGTGCACTCATCCACACAGATATGCAGAGAGATGAAAGATTCATGCCCAAGAGTTACAGAATCACAGAATCACAGAATTTCTAGGTTGGAAGAGACCTCAAGATCATCGAGTCCTATCTCTGACCTAACGCTAACAGTCCCCACTAAACCATATCCCTAAGCTCTACATCTAAACGTCTTTTAAAGACTTCCAGGGATGGTGACTCCACCACTTCCCTGGGCAGCCTGTTCCAATGTCTAACAACCCTTTCAGTAAAGAAGTTCTTCCTAAGATCTAACCTAAAACTCCCCTGGCGCAACTTAAGCCCATTTCCCCTCGTCCTGTCACCAGGCACGTGGGAGAACAGACCAACCCCCACCTCGCTACAGCCTCCTTTAAGGTATCTGTAAAGAGCAATAAGGTCACCCCTGAGCCTCCTCTTCTCCAGGCTGAACAAGCCCAGCTCCTTCAGCCGCTCCTCATAAGCCATTCTCCAGACCCCTCACCAGCTTCGTCGCCCTTCTCTGGACTCACTCAAGCACCTCGATGTCCTTCTTGTAGCAAGGGGCCCAAAACTGAACCCAGTACTCAAGGTGCAGCCTCACCAGAGCCAAGTGCAGGGGGACGATCACCTCCCTAGCCCTGCTGGTCACACTGTTTCTTATGCAAGCCAGGATGCCGTTGGCCTTCTTAGCCACCTGAGCACACTGCTGGCTCATATTCAGCCGACTGTCCACCATCACTCCCAGGTCCTTCTCTGCCTGGCAGCTCTCCAACCACTCATCTCCCAGCCTGTAGCTCTGCTTGGGGTTATTGCACCCCAGGTGGAGGACCCAGCACTTGGCCTTGTTAAACTTCATGCAGTTGACCTCAGCCCATCGGTGCAGCCTATCCAGATCCTCCCGCAGAGCCTTCCTACCCTCAAGCAGATCGACACATGCGCCTAGCTTGGTGTCATCTGCAAACTTACTGAGGGTGCACTCAATGCCCTCATCCAGATCATCGATGAAGATATTAAAGAGGACCAGCCCCAGCACCGAGCCCTGGGGAGCGCCACTAGTGACTGGCCTCCAACTGGACTTGACTCCACTTACCACGACTCTTTGGGCCCGGCTATCCAGGCAGTTTCTAACCCAACGAAGCATGCGCCAGTCCAAGCCAAGAGCAGAGCTGATGTTGACAAAGAGCTGAGGTTTTTTTCTCAGGGAAAATCTTCATGACAAGACATGAAGCTGCAGATATCTGCCCAGCTTTGAGCTACTGTCCACTTGGATAAAGAGATGGAACCTCTACATTAGAGCCACAGAAATACTGTTGTAAAGGGACATTTGGAGGGCTTTTATTCAGTCTCCCAATTCAAGATGTCTTGCTGATATCAGTCAGGTTAGTCATGGCTTTGATTAGCCACGCCTCAGGGACAGAGGCTCAGCCACCTCTCTTGGGTAGCCTGTGCCATTACAGCATTACCTAATAGTGAAGAAATTTCCTAATGACTTACTGGAGCTTCTCCAGATGTTATATGTGATCATCATCCCTTGTTACATTGTCTACTAATGAGAAAAGTTTGGAACATTGTACTTGTAACTTCCCCTCATGAAACTTAGACCTTTTTTCCTCAGATTAAATACCCTCAAAATCTCCTCACAGAACTAATTTTCTAGATCATCTTGGTAGCCTTCTGCTGCATCTTCTCCCATTAGTGTACAACCTTTTTGAACAGGAGAGCCCAGAAGTGGACAAGCCATTTCAGATGACAACCCACCGGTACCAAGCAAGAGGGTTAATGGTTTCCTACAATCAGCTGAACATGCTTTTAACATCATCCAGTACTTTGTCATGTTTGCAGCAAGAGCACTCATTATTCTTCTGGGCATCCACCATAACTTCCAAGTCTTTTTTGACAAGGCTTCTGCTGAACTAGTCAGTTCCCAGCCTGTACTGACACCTGGGGCTTACTCTTTTCCCAGATGTGAGCTTTGTACTATTCTGCAATGATTTTCATAAGGTTTTTGTTGATCCAGTCTTAATGTTCTTTCTTAAAGTTTCATAATGTCCCTTTGGAATGAAGCTCTGTCATTTGTCATATCATCTACTCTGTCTAATTTAGTGTCATTCACAAATTTGGTGAAGTTGAATTTTGTGTCATCATGAGTGGGACTTCTTGAATTCCTCTCAGTTGAATATGTATTCTGCAGGGGAAAAAATCCTCAGGAAGACAGTGATCTGGTCTTTGTGAAATAGGCATGTGGGGAAAGTTGGTGGGAAAGAGGAGTCAAGTGAGACTGACTCAATAAGGTTGAAGTCAATGCAGCTAAAAAAAGCTGTAAATAGTTGAAGCTTGTGATACTGCAACTTTTAAATTTAGAAATTAAAATTTTACATATGTACCTGTCATACAGGTGTATTTGCATGTTTCCAGCTCGTAAGCTCAACTGCACTAAATGGGAGTGGAAGGGAGGTTCTCAGTAGCCAACGTTTGGCAGTCTGTAGGTTCTTCCACATCCTCACTCCAATCTAGTTGCCCATCTAAAAGGCATCTTCTCACTCTTTGTCTCTCAGCAGCCACTGGGCTCTGGAGAAGAAAATAACATATCTTAAGGGCTGGCAGAAAGTGAGGCAGCTGCCTGATCTCCATCTCAAGAGGGATCTATTTTCAGTACGCCTGAATCCTCTCTCCTCCATGGAAAATGTCAGCACACCAGTGCCTTGCCCACATCACATTGCTGTGCAGGACAGTCTGAATCCAGAGATGGCTTTCAGGTTGCCTCTTCTCTTTTGACTGTGCTGTGGTTTGCTTCTGGTCGCAGCAGAGTCTCGCCCTGCAGAGATGGAAACAGGATTGACAGAAAATTAATGACTGGCAGGCAACTTTGCATTCTTCCTTTTGCATCATGACACTCACACAAGTGTTTTCTTATTCAGACAATTTAAAATGCTTGTTCTTCTAGAGGTGTTGTTAGAATAACCTTGAAATTTAGTTTGTGAAGCAATGCATTATTAATGCTGAATACTGTCAGGCCCCTGCACCCCTGCTGGTCTAAGCTACAAGGATTATCTTTGTATTATGGTGTAGCTGACAGAACAGTAAGCAGACACACCTGGTATCAGCTATAATGGCTGCTTCATGGTGAAGGTAGAACTATTTAATGTGAAATACATATGCTTTAGCTGAACTCAGTATGCAAAGAGTTCTCAGCATGAGAGCTACATCTCTGTACACAAGATCTTGGAGAATTTTCATAGGATCATAGAATGGTTTGGGTTGGAAGGGACCTTAAGGATCACCCAGTTCCAACCCCTCTGCCATGTGGTGGTTTTACCTTGCTAGGCTGCTGAACTCCACCAGAACTGCTCTCTCAATCCCCCTCCTCAGAAAAGGATGGGAAGAAGAAAAGGAAAAAAAATAATTTAACTAAAGAGAAAAACAAACAAACAAAACAACAAACAAACCAAGAAAAGGCTGTGTGGAAGCACAGAGGAAAGAAATTACTCTCTACTTCCCACCAACGAGTGATGCTTGACCACATCCTCAAAGCTGGGCCACAACTCATGTAGCCGTTGTTTGAGAGGACAGACATTTTCACAATGAGAGCCCACTCCTCCCCGCTCCTTCCTTTTTCCACCTTTCATTGCTGTGTGACATCATATGGTAGGGAATATCCCTTTGGTTGGTGATGTTCCTTCCTCACCTCTTGTCCACCCCCAGCCTGCTGGCTCTTGGGGGGCTGGAGGGAGTCCTGATGCTGTGCCAACATTGCCAACATTGCCAACAGGCATAACACTGGTGTGATACCAATGCTGCTTGAGCTACACATGCAGAGCGCAGCACAGTATGGGCTACTGCAGGGAAAGTTAACTCCATCCCAGCCAGACCCAGTACAGATGCCATCCACTAGATCAGCTTGCCCAAGGCCTCATCCAATGTTGTCTTGAACACCTCCAGTGATGTAGCATCCACAACGTCTCTGGACAACCTGTTCCGATGCCTTAACACCCTCTGAGCAAAGAATTTTCTCTAACATCTAACCTAAATCTCCCCTCTTTTCATTTAAAACCATTCCCCCTTAGAATCATAGAGTCATAGAATACCCCTAGTTGGAAGGGACCCATAAGGATCATGAAGTCCAACTCCTGGCACCACACAGGTCTACCCAGAATTTTAGACCATGTGACTAAGTGCACAGTCCAAACGCTTCTTAAACTCCAACAGGCTTGGTGCAGTGACTACTTCCCTGGGGAGCCTGTTCCAGTGTGCAACCACTCTCTTGGTGAAGAATCTCTTCCTGATGTCTAGCCTCCCCTGCCTCAGCTTGACACAATTCCCTCGGGTCCTATTGCTGGTCACTAGAGAATAGATAGGCACCTGCCCCTCCATTCCCCCTTGTGAGGAAGCTGTAGACTGCAGTGAGGTCTCCCTTCAGCCTCCTCTTTTCGAGGCTGAACAGGCCAAGTGACCTCTGCCACTCCTCATACACCTTCTCCTCTAGTCCCTTCACCATCTTCGTGTAGCCCTTGTCCTATTATTACCTGTCTGAGTAAAAATTTGCTCTCCATCTTTATTATAAGCCCTCTCTAAGTATGGAAAGGCTGCAATGAGGTCTCTCCAGAGCCTTCTTTAGGCTGAACAGACCCAGCTCTCAGCCTTTCTTCATAGGAGAGGTACTCCAGCCCCTTGATCATCTTTGTGGCCCTCCTCTGGACCTGCTCTAACAGCCCCACATCCTTCTTGTGCTGGGGTCCCCAGATCTGATCGCCAGATTCCAAGTGGGACCTCACAGGGGCAGAGCAGAGGGGGACAATCACCTCCCTCCCCTGCTGGCCACTCATCCTTTGATGCAGCCCACGATGCTTCTGGGCTGCAAGAACACTCTGCTGGCATATGTCAAGCTTTTATTTCACCAGAACTCCCAAGTCCTTCTCTGCAGGGGTGGTCTCAGTGAGTTCTTCCAGTCTGTAGTCATGTCTGGGATTGCCCCAGCCCACATGCAACACCTTGCACTTGGACTTGTTGAACCTCATTCAGTTTAGTGGGCCCACTTCTCGGGCTTGTTCAGGTCCCTTTGGATGGCATTCCTTCCTTCTGTTGTGTCAATTGTACCATTCAGCTTGGTGTCATCTGCAAACTTACTGAGGGTTCACTCGATCCCACTATGTCATTGACAGAGATATTAAACAGTACCGGTCTCAAGACAGACCCCTGAGGGACACCACACATCACTGGCCTCCACATGGACATGGAGCCATTGACCCACACTCTGGGTGTGGCCTTCAAGCCAATTCACTGAATGGTCCACCCTTCAAATCCATCTCCCTCTATCTGGAGATCACAATGTCATGTGGGACCATGTAAAAGGCCTTACAGAAGTTCAGTAATATGACATCAATTTTGCTAGATTTCAGTAAACCTTCAGAGTCTTGATTGATATGAATCCCCTTTCAGGGTATGGCTCACTCCAAGATATTAAACAAAGCCCACATGACCATAACCACATTATGCTAAATTTGGCTTTATACTAGTACTGAGATATTAATGAAGTGTTATTAATGTGGATATATGTTAATGCTTGTGATAGGTACAAAAATCAGATTACGAATCTATGGTAAGAACAGTTTCTCCATCTCTGAGCAGATGTCAGTATACATATATATAGCTGCACTGTAGATTTGTATATGCACACAGAAGTGTTCTGCTAAAGGAGGACCTCAAACACCTGATACAGAGTTAGGTGGGTAAGTAACTCCTGCAATTCTTTTATGCTCTGAGCAATCTGGTAGCATTCCCAGCTTTCCTTGTAGGATGAGACTGCCTGCAGTTTTCTGAGTTGTCCTTTGAAGGCTTATGTTTTTCATCTACATGTAATCTTCAAGAACTCTTTTTATGCCATATGTGCCTGGCAGTCAGTTGCTTTCCTTCCCTTGACCAGTGCCTACGGTTGGTTGGGCTCTGGACTTTTGAGGCAAATTCCTATTCTCCTCAACCAGAGATGGTGTCATTTACCTCTGTATGATAACAGGTTTCAAGACTCTTCATGAGATGTTGTCCTCAGTGTCAATGTGCGTTGTGTAGAATAACCCAGACCTTCCAAACTCTTGTGTAAATACTGTATCATTCTGCTGTCTGCAAGGTTCCTTGGTAAAGAGATATTCTCTCTTGGAAGTTACCTCCTTAATAGCTCTAGCACATGCTAAGGAAATAGTTTGACTTTGGCTTCTGTCAAGCTCTTCATTACCACAGGCATGGCTTCACTTAACTAAGTGGATGTTAAGTTGATCCTGTTACTCCATCTGCACAGAACCAGTTCCTGCAGATGATTCTTAGGACTGTTTAAGAAACGGTAAAACATTGAAAACTTCAGCAAATACATAGAGACTAACAGGTTGGAAGTAAATTTGAAGAGCTATTGGGAATTCACCTTTGTCGATTCACCATCGGTGCACTCAGACAATGCAAACTATGATAATACCTTAACCAAAGAGTGGCTTCATTCCTGTTATCTTTAGATCAGAAAGGATGTGACTTCATCCTTTTGGGTGTGGTAGAACTGTGCAGTAGTTTGCTTGAAAGATACATACTTACGTGACCAAAAGTTAGAGGAGGTACTGCTTGAAGATATTTTAGTACAAATATGTGAACTGACTGTCATTCAAAGATGTGTTCCCTTGTCTTCAAGAACTGATGTCTACATGAATGTTTATCTCTCTCTTCCTTGTCACTTCTACCTCAGAGTCCCAGAGGAGTCCCGAAGTCTTTCTGATTCTGCAGTTGCTCAGGTCCATTTAATATAAAGTGTTCTCTATACTATTTATGTACGTGTACAAATAGGTACTACTTAGTCAAAAAACAGGGGTCAATACTGGGTCCAACCATGCAGATGAAGGATAGAGTCTTTCACCTGGGGAGGAACATCCCCAGGTGAGTGTACATACTGGGGACTGAACAGCTGGAAAGTGGAAAGCAGCTTTGCAAAAAAGGACCTGGGAGTCTTGGTGGACAAACAGCTTGAACATGAGCCAGCAACATGCCCTTTCCACAAAGAAGGAGGATGGTCATCTGGTTTGCATAAGAAGTGTCACAGAAGGTTGAGGGAGGTGATCCTTCCCCTCTACTCATCACTGGTGAGGCCACACCCGGACTGTTGTGTGCAGTTCTGGGCTCTCCACTACAAGAGACTACATGGACATACTGGAGAGAATCCAACTAAGGGCCAGAAAGATTATGAAGGTACTGGAGGATCTCAGCAATGAGGAAAGGCTGAGAGAGGTGGACTGTTCAGCCTTGAAAAGAAAAGGCTTGGAGAGTATCTCACAATGTATAAATATATGAACAAAGGATGTAGAGAAGAGAAAACCAGGCTTTCTCCAGTGGTGCCCAGTGACAGGATAATGGGGACAAAATGAAATGCGGGAGGCTCCATCTGAACATCAGGAGAATCTTTTTGACTGTTAGGGTGACTCAGCAATGGAACAGGTTTCCCAGAGAAGCTGTGGAATGTCCATCCTTGGGGATATTCAAAAGCCATCTAGACAAGACTGTCTCCTTCATTTCCATGCCCTGGTTCATAACCATTTTCTGAGATTTGGACCACTATCATAAAAGGCTTTAGGTTTCTAAATATGCGTTATAGGGATGTAGGGACACCAAATTCAATGTACAAATCACTGCTGAGTGACTATCAACAACTGAAGATGCGTGCATTTGCTAGCTGCTTCCTCCTCAAGCCAGGCCTTCCCTTGGCTGACTTCACACCTACTGCTGCCTGGCTATGTGCCTCACTCCTGCCAGCTGGGTCCACAATTTGGGCAACCCAACAGGAAAAACACAGAAGAGCTGTACTGAAGAGACTGGATTTGTCATTGGCAACTGGAAATTCAACATTTTCTGTCCCCAGAATCAGGCATCTAGCCTAAGACACTCAGCTGCTCTCAAACAGATCCTGAAGGCACATCCTGAGGATGGGCACTTTGTCCCAGCATGACAGCACTGCATAAAACAGGTTTGCGACCTACTGCTGAGAGCAGGGCCTCAGAGGAAATCAACAGCAGCTACCAGTACTTCACCTGCTGCTGCCACGGGATGCTGCCTTGACAGTGCAGATGTTACAGCTTTCCTGGAAATGGAAGACTAGAGCTCCCACCTCAACCTGAGGGGAGCAAGCCCCCAGCTCTCCCTGGGTGAGGCTTCTTAGCCATCTCTGCTCCTCCCAGACCTTGCTCTTTGCATGAGGTCTTCTGAACTCTGTGCTCTGAGCTGCCAAGACCCTCCTGTCCCCTCCTAGGCCACTGTGTTGTTGGGCACCAATTGGAAACCTAGCACCCTGGCTTGGACTAGGTTTGGGCTCCAGGCTTGGGCTAAGATGCCCAAAATGTGAGTGCTACAGTGCAGAACCTTCCTTGGAAAAGGCCTTCATGCACAGAACAGTGCCTGATGCTGGGTGTTCCATCAGATCCCATGAATCATTTTTCTAACCTTGTCCCCATATTACCCACTGACATCTTTTAATGACCAAAGTGCCAATGACCAGGAGAAAAGTTTGTTGAAATCTGACAGGATTTAAAGCAACTTACATGACAGTGCCAATTTCCTATATCAGTCACTTTCCAGGACTTCCAGCAAATCTCTCTTTCCCACACTATCAGCACTCAAGGGGCATGTTTGCCAACACCAGTACTCTAGTATAGGTAACACTGTTTTTTTTTGGACTGTGTGAATGTGTGGAAGCCATATATGATGAGATGGGAATGCTGGACTAAGGATGTATCAGGCACAGAGCATCTGGGACTGCATGCTGAGGTGAAATATGTGTGTATGTGTCTAATTATAGGTGTGACTGACTAGAGGGATTTTTCTGTCAATTGTAGGTAGGAAAAAAGCTGTGGGGGCCTTTTGCTAGATCAGAGTTATTTTTCCTTGGGTTATAGGCAGGTGACACCTGGATAAGCTTAAAGGTTTTTGGCAAAAGAATGGAGCATCTCTTGCTCACTGGCACTGACCTAATTGCATCAGAAGTCTCAGGAGGCTGTAACTTCTCCTACAGTACAAGTTGGTGCATAAAGTCACAAAAACATTTCTTGGATAGTCTCTCAAATTTTACAATCTGAAGCGTGTACAGAGGCACAAATGCACACGACTCAGTGTGTGTTCTTCCTGATACTTCTGAAGCTGCCTCACATCTCTCTCAGAGACACCAGCCTAAAAACCTGATTAGGACCAAGTCTCTCACTACTGTGGCTTGTGGCTGAACATGCTGCCGTACTTTTAACCCTTGTAACCAGTTCTATGCCTGCACTTCTGCCTTCAGGATTTTACCATCACAACTGCCAAAGCTTTTGAAAATGCTAATTTATCTTTTAACATCCTGTTTTATCTATTGTATTGCTGGGTTAGCTGCAGCACACACATACCAAGCAATACTCTCTGGGTCATACACTGAGTCGGTGGGAAAGTCAGCAATAAGTCCTGCATCCAAGTTCTCTAAGTGCTTTGACTAGTCCAGATTCCCTCCTTAACACCCTTGTCAGATTGTTTATAGAAGATGTATTCATATAGTCAGTAAGACATCAAAATATTCTAATTATATCTAGTCATGTCAAATGACAATTATGCCCTTAGTTCAGTTTGCCAGACAATGCTTTACCAAAGAAGGTTTGCCAAAAATTTTTTGACCGAAGAAAGAGTAGGCATCTGTAGCATCTGCAAATGAGATCGTATATAATCTCCCTGCAGCAAGTCTGCCCTGTCTTCGTGGAAAGCTTCAAGGTAAGTGTATGGGGTCTGCAGGCTTGCAGGAAGGAGATGGTGCCCTTATGTACCACAGCATTCTTTGTGCCTCCAGTGCTCATTTCCATGAATGGACTCAATTTCTCAGCTCAAGTTTTAAATCTGCTTTCAAGACATCTGCACATTTTCACTCTGGAATTATGTGCAGCATCAAGTAGGGAATTGCCATTTGTGTTTTGCAGTACTGACCGGCTGCCAGGGTGCAAGACACCCACCTGGTGTCACGAGAGGTAAGAATTTGATTTATTAATTCTTAGAGGGCAGAGAAAGATCTTTTTGGGTGGGATTTCTGTATGGCTGCATGAATGGTCACTGTTTCACCCTATATTCAAAACCAGGATGATTACAGTAGGCAGGTGGTGGGGTACCCACAGCTGGTAAGATTTTCAAGTGGCCATGTTCGAATCCTCTGGCAACTGATGTAAGACCAGAAAATTCCCATGGGGATATTCTTCACCTTACTTAACTGACCAAACAGGGAGTGAGGCATGCTGGCTTCACATCATTTTTGTGGCAGCAATAGAACAGTACCAAGATGAACAAAGGTGGAAAAAGTGCAAAACTGTACATCCTACTTCAGAAAGTATGAATTAATACATCATCTGAGCATACAGAGATTCTAACCATCTTTGTAAAATGCAGGGCTCTCTCAGGTACACATTTTCTTTATCTAGACAAAAAAAAAAAAAGAAAAAAAAAGAAAAAAAAGAAGAAAAAAGAGACTTAACTGTTGAACAAATGAAATAAATTTCACTAATGTAGCTAGAGAATTTTCAATTGCAGTTGGCTAACTTAGCTATCCACATGTTTAACAAGGCATCTAAAGACATATTTTTATTTTCTAAAATTTGGAGAACTCACCTGCTCCTGGATGTTTTTTTAAGGAAGTGTTTATTTGGGAGCTTCATACAAGCATAGCAATTCCAATTTCAGTGCTTGAATTTTGTTTTACTCAAGTCAGAACTTTGGGGCTGGGATTATTTAGATATTGTACTTAAGAACGACAAATGTATAAACAAATTAAATTATGGCAGAATATTAAAATATACAAGACTTGCCTTTTTCTTCTGTTGGCAACTTCAGTAGCAAAATTCATTAATTTCCCAAGGCCTTCCTTTTACCATCCTAGTTAATAAGCAAATGCCCCATTGGTTCAATATTTTCCAGGACCGTAGGTCTCCTATACTACAGCTTTTCAGAAACGTTTCTTCACATTTACTCTTTTAAACAAAATGTTCCACCTGTATTTCTACTTCTGATAGTGATGTCATTAAAACTTGCTAAGTAGCTTCGGTAGTTCTTACAGACATGATATTCTTAAAATGCCAAACTTTCAGTTGTGAAAGGTGATTAAATATTGCTCTCCTAGAAGTCTGAAGACCTAAGCTACATCAATTATATCCTCATTTTCTAAGTAACCTAAAGATTAGGATCTTCAGTTAGGTCATTATAGTTGTTCTAAATATTAGATTGTGATGAGAAAACAAAGAACAGGATATAAAAGATTTCCCAATCTTACAGAATAGACATAAATAATCAATGCAATATTACTTCTAGCCATTAGAGTCTTCTGCTGACGTGTCTTCAGTAAAGCACAGACATGGCCTCTGCAGATGCGGAGATGGCTGTTTTTGGGGAGGCGGCTCCCTACCTCCGAAAGTCAGAAAAGGAAAGAATTGAGGCCCAGAACAAACCTTTTGATGCCAAGTCATCCGTCTTTGTGGCCCATCCCAAGGAATCCTTTGTAAAAGGGACAATCCAGAGCAGGGAAACAGGGAAGGTCACTGTGAAAACTGAAGGTGGAGAGGTAAGAGAAAATGAAACTTCAGATCAACAGTTGATTCACACTGAGCTTCTAGCTGACATATGCAGACATATTCTTTCATTTCCTTGGCAGACTCTGACCGTGAAGGAAGATCAAATCTTTTCCATGAACCCTCCCAAGTATGATAAAATTGAGGACATGGCCATGATGACCCACCTCCACGAACCCGCTGTGCTGTACAACCTCAAAGAGCGTTATGCAGCCTGGATGATCTACGTAAGTACCAGCAGCTTTCTTCCTTTGGGTAGCTGGAAGGCCTGCTGTGCCAGGCTGAGCAGAAGCCAACGTGCTGTCTCCCTTCCTCGCAGACTTACTCGGGTCTCTTCTGTGTCACTGTCAACCCCTACAAGTGGCTGCCAGTGTACAACCCGGAGGTGGTGTTGGCCTACCGAGGCAAAAAGCGCCAGGAGGCCCCTCCACACATCTTCTCCATCTCTGACAACGCCTATCAGTTCATGCTGACTGGTGAGTGCTTGATCTCATTCAAAGCAATCTGAACCAAAAAGCCTCGTGGCTCTTACTGGAGCACAGGACAAGGCAGCTACAAATCCCATGGAGCTAAGTGAGAGAAACTGACAACTGCAAGCCAAACTATACCAGAAACATGCATAGATTCAGCACTGTGTACTATTGTACCCTATTCTACACTTTCCCACCACAGACATAATACTGAGCTCATAATATCCTTCCCCCCCCTCCTTTTTTTTTTTTCTTTTTTTTTCAATGAGAGAACAGAAAGCATACAATCTTTGTATGCATACCATACAATATGGTATGTATGATTGTATGATACCATACAATCTTTGCTTTGAGCACAGGTAGTCAGTTTGATTTGATTCCTTGATGAGAACTGTGTGAAGGGCAAGTGCCTACAGACTTTGTCTGAGGACCATGTGCATCTGAGAGTTGTATGGGTCCAGCAGAGCTTATACTTACTACTGTTAGAAGGAAATTCAGTACTGTCTTCTATAAGTTACTGCTTGGACTTTCTGGAGAAGCCCCAACTTACATTTACAGATTTACTTTTCAGTCAGCTAACACAGTTCTATTCAGGACAATGGCTAAAAACTTTAATTCTACCTCTTTCACAGACCGCGAGAATCAGTCAATCCTGATCACGTAAGTACACTTCTTGCTCAGGTCCCTGCAGGGCTACAGGGAACCAGGAGACCTGCTTCCTGACCACACTCTCCCTGCTTCTCTATTTCATTTGGCAGTGGAGAATCTGGTGCAGGGAAGACTGTGAACACAAAGCGCGTCATCCAGTACTTTGCAACAATTGCAGCTAGTGGGGAGAAGAAGAAGGAGGAGCAGTCTGGCAAAATGCAGGTAAAATTATAGATAGGGGCTCAAATCAATGCTTTTCTCTGTTCCTCATTTTTGAAAAGTAATAACTAGGAATAATTATTGTCCTGTAGGGAACACTAGAGGATCAAATCATCAGCGCCAACCCACTGCTGGAGGCATTCGGAAATGCCAAGACTGTGAGGAATGACAACTCCTCGCGCTTTGTGAGTTGTAGCTTTGGACAAAATCCCTCCTAACAGTAGTGATGAGCCTAGCGACATTCTTACATAAAGAGATGTCAAAAGAATCCATCTAGGCTGAAGTGGTTCTTTTCCCCCTCAATAGGGCAAATTCATCAGAATCCACTTTGGGGCCACAGGCAAACTGGCTTCTGCTGACATTGAAACTTGTAAGTGACATCCTGGCATGATCACATCCCTTCCTAAATTCCTACCTCTGTGTGCCGTCTCATTCCTAGCACTTTCTTCCTGCTTTGCCAGATCTGCTGGAGAAGTCCAGAGTCACTTTCCAGCTCAAGGCAGAAAGAAGCTACCACATTTTTTATCAGGTCACCTCCAACAAGAAGCCAGAGCTAATTGGTAGGAGGCATCAGTGAGCTTTTTTGGAGAAAGATCACTGAGCAACAATGAATTACACTATAGAAACAATGAAATTTAACCCATCAATATTTGTTTTCAGAAATGCTCCTTATCACCACCAACCCATATGACTACCCTTTTGTGAGTCAAGGTGAGATCACTGTTCCCAGCATTGATGACAAGGAGGAGTTGATGGCTACAGATGTAAGTAATTTATGAAACAGGTAAGCTGGTACAGGTCATACATCATATAACAGGCAAATATTCCACTTTACTGATTCTATTACCAGAGTGCCATTGACATCCTGGGCTTCACTGCTGACGAGAAGACTGCCATCTACAAGCTGACAGGGGCTGTCATGCACTACGGCAACTTGAAGTTCAAGCAGAAACAGAGAGAGGAGCAGGCAGAGCCAGATGGCACAGAAGGTATTGTCAAACTCAGAAATTATAACTCTGAGCCACTCTGTATGTGAAAGACACAGAGTGATCTGAAATTAGATTTTAGGATTTCAAGGAAAACAGCAAGTAAGAAAAAAATCTTACTTCTCACAGTACATCATTTTCTCTGATGTATAATCTCTGGATTTATGTATCCTATATGATGAAAAATTTTCAGTTTAAACTGCCTTCTAAACTGTGCCAGGAAGCTAGTAGCTGTGGATGCCTTTACTGTAACATTATTAGTCATATTTTTATTGAGAATGCCTTGCACTCATTGTGGAACAATAAAGATATTCAGCTCTAAAAGGATAGAGGGCCATATTTTCATTCACCCTCACCTGTCTGATATCCAGGGAACTCTGATGAGAGAGGTGGATTTGATTCCTCTCTGTCAGAGCAAGAGCTAGAACCCATGCCTCCAGTTTTCTGAGCCTTCTCGTTTTAAAGAACTAGGCAGAAGTTGGGAAGTGCCATAGTCATGTCTGAAAAAGGATGAAAACCTATGAATTTTACAGAAGATCAGAAGTAGAAACCAAAGCTCAGAAAGGGTTGTAGATGCTGAATCCTAAAGAGTACAGATAAATCCTCTGTGTTCCACTCTAAATATTTGGGTGTTTTTTATCACCTTCTGAGTATAGCTCATTATCTGACTGAGGTCACTGCAACTTCTGAGCTACACACATACAAGAAATATTCAGATTAACAAGCTGCAGGCTTCAATTTTGTGCTAGGAATTTTTTGAAAAAACTTCATTGCATTTTGCATGCTTCAATGAAGACCTTCAAATGTAAGTTCTTTCAGAAAAGTTCAATATGTATAATTATGACTTTGATGCTACACAGATTATATCTGTGACATTCTTTCAACATATTTCAAAGCATGGAAACCTGAACACTGCAGCCCTTAGAGATGCAAAATCTATATGACACAAAATTCTTTTTTTTTTTCTTTCTTTTTTTTCTTTTTTTTTCTTTTTTTTTCTTTTTTTCTATCTATCTTTGCCATTTAGTTGCTGACAAGGCTGCCTATCTTATGGGCCTGAATTCAGCTGACATGCTGAAGGCATTGTGTTACCCTCGAGTCAAAGTTGGGAATGAATATGTGACCAAGGGTCAAACCGTGCAGCAGGTGAGAAACATGGTAACCTGGAACCATGCTTTTAATTAATATGCATTTGATTCTCCTCTGCTCTGTGTTGTAACTTCAGGCATTTACTTTTGTTTTAGGTTCACAATGCTGTAGGTGCTCTGGCAAAGGCTGTCTATGAGAGGATGTTCTTGTGGATGGTTGTTCGTATCAACCAGCAGCTGGATACAAAGCAGCCCAGGCAGTACTTCATTGGTGTCTTGGACATTGCTGGCTTTGAGATCTTTGATGTGAGTAACAAAGATTTGGTAAGAGCTGCTTAGAGAGCTGCTTAGAAATGACAGCTGGGTGTTCTGACAACTCTCAGACATATTTTTAAAGAACACATATGATCAACACTTTTTTTTTTTTTTTGTAGCTAATTGCCTTTTTTTTTTGCCATGAAGTAAGAAATGACATTTGAAAGGACTTTTCTTATAACAATAGCCTCATTTTCAAGATGTGCAAGCTCAAAAGAGCAGAAAGGCCTAAGCAGAAAAATTTCTTAGTTTAAAACATCAAGTTAAAGACCGTATAAAGCACATACATCATAATAGGCCTAACTTTGTATTTTTTTTTCTGTAATTTGTTCTAAGATAATATAGGAAATACATTCTATTTTCACAGTTTTATCAAGGAGAAAAATATGATCGTGAACAATGAATGTCATGCGTTTCTCTATTTTGTTATATAGATATAAAGCTGACTGAAGAAATGCTCAGTCACTATGAAAACAGAGTAACTGCATTCCTTATTTTTAAAGGGTAAGGTTTTGCAATTACTTCTGCATCTTGCAGATATGGATCTTTCTCATTCTATTTCCAGTTCAACAGCTTTGAGCAGCTGTGCATCAACTTCACCAATGAGAAACTGCAGCAGTTCTTCAATCACCACATGTTTGTACTGGAGCAGGAGGAGTACAAGAAGGAAGGGATTGAATGGACATTCATTGACTTTGGGATGGACCTGGCTGCCTGCATTGAGCTCATTGAGAAGGTATGGGAATATTATAATTACTTGGTCTAATTTTTCAAAGGGATCATTCATGTTCATGTCCAAATATTCAAATTTTGTTATTCAAGAATACTTAGCTGTTTAGTTTATTTTATCTGTCAAATGAGACGTTAAGGTGGTGTGCTGATGTCACAGAGCAGATTTGAACTGGTATTTTCTGAAGTGCAAAAAGATTGTTAAACTCCCAATAAAACTTTTTTTTTTTTTTTTTTTTCCAAAACAGATAGAAACAGTTTCCAGTTAAAACTCTGCAGCTCACCTTTCAGCTCCAACTGACTTGTGCTCCTACAGCAAAATAGATATATCACTCGTAAAATAAACATAGAAGATGGAAATGCATCACTGATTACAAACAGTCACACTTAAGGGGCATCCTTTGACTTAGAATAAGGAGGTATTCATATTGAGCATGGAATTTAATGTTCATTGGCTGTCAGGATGATAAGAAATTATAATCATAGAACCGTGAGATCATTTAATCTAACTCCCTTGGTCAAAGCATCTTTAACTGGACAGGTTTCTCAGGACCATGTAAAGCTTGGTTTAGAATATTTCAGATGATACCCTAAGAATAGATACTCTGGGGAATCTGTTCCAACTGTTGACCACTCTCACAGTAAAAAAAAAGCATTTCTTACATTTAAATGGAATTTCCTGTAATTCGATTTGTGCCTGTGGCACCTTGTACTGTCACTGAGAACCACTGAAAAGAGACTGGCTTCATCTTCCTTCCCACCTCCCATTAAGTGTTTATACACATTAGTAAGATCCTCCTGAGCCTTCTTTTCTCATGGCTGAACAGTCTCAGCTCTCTCAGCCTCTACTTGTATGTCAGATATTCCAGTCTAAATATATTAGTGGCCCTTCAATGTGCTTACTCTAGTATGTCTATGCTTTTCTTGTGCTGGGGAGCCCAGAACTGGACAAAGCACTTCAGATGTTTCTCAGCAGAGCTGAGTAGAGAGGAAGGATCACCTCCATCAACCTGCTGATAATATTCTTCTTAATGCAACAAAGAATAGGTGCCTGTCCTTTCTGTAGGGGTGTACGGTATACTCATTTTGGTTCAATTACTTTTATGACATCTGTATGTGTTTGTGTTCCTCTGAATAAGAAGGTAGTGTCCTGGTTATATAAAGAAACTTTTCAACACAAACTAAAGGAACTTCAATTTATCATTATGAATCATTTGGTGTAAAAAAAAAACAAAACAAACATAACTGTCAATATGTTTAATTACATTTTCTAGCATAAAATGTGACTGAAAAATAACTTTTTCTGATGAACACTTATGTCTGTGTTCTGCTACTCTGACTAGATAAAGACCGTAATTGCCCATAAAACTAAATAGCAATTTGTCTCTCCTGTGTATTTCTTCCAGCCCATGGGCATCTTCTCCATCCTGGAAGAGGAGTGCATGTTCCCCAAGGCAACTGACACCTCTTTCAAGAACAAGCTCTATGACCAGCATCTGGGCAAGTCCAGCAATTTCCAGAAGCCCAAGCCTACCAAAGGCAAGGTTGAGGCCCACTTCTCCTTGATACACTATGCTGGCACGGTGGACTACAACATCACTGGCTGGCTTGAGAAGAACAAGGACCCCCTGAATGAAACTGTTATTGGGTTATACCAGAAGTCTTCACTGAAAACACTGGCCTTACTCTTTGCCAACTATGGTGGAGCAGAAGCAGGTCAGATCTATGAAAGTCATATTTTCAGTGATGTACAGCTTAAAGGAATTGTAAGAGGCAATAAAAAAAATATAAAATCTATTTTATATATTTTTAATTTTTGCAGAGGCTAGTGCTGGTGCTGGCAAGAAAGGTGGCAAGAAGAAGGGTTCTTCATTCCAGACGGTCTCCGCTCTTTTCCGGGTGCAGTACAAAGTTCAATATTTTTTTTCCTAATATAAGGAGGAAATTCATCACTTAAAATAACCTGTCTTTTTTGGCTTAGTTGTGTAAAAAAAAAAAAAAAAAAAAAAAAAAAAAAAGATGTTCTTGGGCCAGAGGAGCAAACCCACTGTAACTTATTTATGCTCTTTTCTATTGAATGCACAACATATGGCTGTGTCCACTTCTCCAGAAAACTTATAAAATATACCTAGAAGACACAAATTTCCTTTAGATGTCCACCTCTGCTTCAGAACCTTTTATTACCCCTTAACAACATTGTTTCTGCCCAGAGGCCTGGAGGTGAGCTGTTTGCTCCGTTTGTATCTCTAGCATTTTTTTCATGATTCATGCATCAGTTATGATTGAAATAAACCTTGGGATACGATTTTTTAAGATGTGAGATACCTGGCAGTTTTTTCTCATAGCCAAGCTTTGCTGCCTGGCTGTTCTATACACTTCTGTCAGGTAATATGCTGAGTCTCTCCTGAGGCTATTTATTATGATATTCACTTATTATGATATTCACTTAGGGCTCTCTTCTTGATCCAGCCTAATTTGTCCTACATATCTGTTGTCATATGATTTTTGATTACCTGACATAACCTCTAGCCAGTTCTCTGAAACATGACATGGACTTTGTGTATACAACCTAGGATAAATAATCATAGATCTAGGCTATGTTTTCAAGGCTTTTGCCTTGCAAGTGGGAAATTATTGCCAGCACATATCATTCAAAAATAATGTAATAAGCCCGTGTTTAAGCTAGTAATACTTTAAGAAATAAGAGGTGATCCTTGCTGCATTTAGGTTGCATTGCTCTTAAGTTTTCAGACTTTCTTAAAGTTTAGACGTGCTAAGGTTTGGACTACTTAATTTAGGTAGTCCGAAATGTCCTCTGGGGTTACCTACTCTAATTATAGACAATAATTATTTATTTATAAATAATTATACAGATACTAGTTACAGACCAGCCCTGGGATTCATCTTACCTTATTCTCATCTCACCTTACCTTACAAACAAAACATGAAACTGAGACACAAAATTCAGCCTGTTCCTTTTGCTTTTAGTGGAGAAAATAGGAAGGTTCTATGTAGTGTGAACCATATGACTCATCTTAAATGTCTACTGTAGTATGCTTCAAACTGCATCTGAGAAGTATCACTATATCTCTCCTGGAATGTATAATGGAAGATGGATATAATTTCTAATGAAGGTATTTCACTAGAGTCAGTGAAATGTCATAAAACTGTATGTTTAAGAGTACAGAGTTCCTACAGACTAAACAGACAAACTTAATACCTTACGTTAATAACAACAAAGATACATGGAAAGTCAGAAAACTGGTGCAGGTGGCTTCAGTTCAGGATTCTGCAAGCTAATATTTGATAACACATTATTTCGGTACAGATTGCTTGATGCTTACAGTGGAAATTACATTTGCTGATATAAACTTTTGTTAATGACTCTCCCAGGAAAATCTAAACAAGCTGATGACAAATCTGAGAAGCACCCACCCCCATTTTGTACGCTGCATCATCCCAAATGAAACAAAAACACCTGGTAAGAGACTCACATACAGGAAGTCTTCAATATGGTGCTGATCTTCCCTGATGTATTACAGAATACAACATTCATTTGTGCTCTGAATTGTTAGGTGCCATGGAACATGAGCTGGTGCTGCATCAGCTTCGGTGTAACGGTGTGCTGGAAGGGATCAGAATTTGCAGGAAAGGATTTCCCAACAGAGTCCTGTATGCAGATTTTAAACAGAGGTCAGACTGCTTCCCCTTCCTGAATCATTTTGGCCATCTTAAGTAGCTTATGAAATTTAAAATTCACCTCTGGTGAATAGAACCTTCTCTAACATTTACATTTAGCAGTGGAGTTATGTTCTCTTTTTTGTAGTGTATCAGTCAATTAGTCTCAACAGCAGACCTCCTTATATTACCATTTTCTCCCCCAGATACAAAGTATTAAATGCAAGTGCTATTCCAGAGGGACAGTTCATTGACAGCAAGAAGGCTTGTGAGAAACTTCTTGGATCAATTGATATAGACCACACACAATATAAGTTTGGTCACACCAAGGTACCAAAACTGTTTATTTCAAGTACTGCATGTTTTTGTTTTGTATAGCTTAAGAGAGATATTTTAGAAAGCACGTGAAATCATCAAACACTGACGTGTTTAAAACATATCAACTAAATACTTTTTGACTCACCACTTCAATAAAACAGTGAAATTCATTGTCATAGGATGATTCTAATTCAGGGTTCCTAATTGAAGACAAAGTTGTAGAATAGAAGAATCAAGGATTAATAAAAACAAATGAATAAATCTGGCTATTATAGTTCTTCAACTGCAGTAATATGACTGTAATAACCAGACCAGGATTCTTGAAGATATAATATAATGGATATAATGGATATAATGGATATAATATATCCATCACTGCCTACATTCTTTGTGGTTTTGCTTTTTCTCTAACTTCCCATATAATCTGCCATGGCAGACAGGATATGGGCTACTGTGAACAGCAAGCACATAGACTGTACCTATTTTTATGTTCTTACCTAAGGTGTTCTTCAAAGCTGGGCTGATAGGCCTTTTGGAAGAGATGAGGGATGAGAAGCTGGCACAGCTCATTACTCGCACACAAGCCAGGTGCAGGGGCTTCCTAATGAGAGTGGAGTACCAGAAAATGGTGGAGAGGAGGTAAACATTTATTTAAATCAAGTTCAATGTATGTTTTGTCATCTGTGCCTAAATTTTTAATATTTATTTCACTTACCATTCAGAGAGTCCATCTTCTGCATCCAGTACAACATTCGTGCATTCATGAATGTCAAGCACTGGCCCTGGATGAAGCTGTTCTTCAAAATCAAGCCCTTGCTGAAGAGTGCAGAATCTGAGAAGGAGATGGCCAACATGAAACAAGAGTTTGAGAAAACCAAGGAAGAACTTGCAAAGTCTGAGGCAAAGAGGAAGGAGTTGGAGGAGAAAATGGTGAAGCTTGTGCAGGAGAAAAATGATCTGCAGCTTCAAGTGCAGGCTGTGAGTAGGACTAGTGTACCTCATTCTAACTTAACAGGGGCTACAAGACTGATGTTTACAATTAAATTTTCAAAAGACACATACCAAGTAAAAGTTAAATCAATTACTTTGTAATTCATTAAATGATGCTTTTAAAAACATAACTAGATACTGTCAGAAAGTTCAAGTAAGGGTATTCTATGATTGTATGTATATCATGTGTGAGACTTATCAAACAATCATAGAATCATAGCATATCATGACTTGAAAGGATCCGCAAGGATCACAGAACCACTTAGGTTGGAAGAAACCTCCAAGATCACCTAGGCCAACCTCTGGCCTAACACTAACAAGTCCTTCACTAAACCATATCACTAAGTTCAACATCTAAAAGTCTTTTAAAGACCTTCAAGGATGATGACTCAGCCACTTCCCTGGGAAGCCCATTCCAATGCCTAACAACCCTCTTAGTAAAGAAGTTCTTCTTAATATCCAACCTAAACCTCCCCTGATGAAACTTTAGCCCATTCCCCCTCGTCCTATCACCGGGCACGTGGGAGAATAGACTAATCCCCACCTCACTACAGCCTCCTTTAATGTATCTATAGAGTGTCATGAGGTTGCCCCTGAGCCTCCTCTTCTCCACGCTGAACAATCCCAGCTTGCTCAGCTGCTCCTCGTAAACCATTCTCCAGACCCCTCACCAGCTTTGTAGCTCTTCTCTGGACTTGCTCAAGCACCTCGATGTCCTTCTTGTAACAAGGGGCCCAAAACTGAACACAGTACTCGAGGTGCAGCCTCACCAGAGCCGAGTAGAGGGGGACAGTCACTTCCCTAGCCCTGCTGGCCACACTGCTTCTTATACAAGCCAGGATGCTGTTGGCCTTCTTAGCCACCTGAGCACACTGCTGGCTCATATTCAGCTGACTATCAACCAAGGTCCTATCTACTATCAACTCCCAGGTCATTTTCTGCCAGGCAGCTTTCCAACCACTCATCTCCCAGCCTGTAGTGCTGCTTGGGGTTGTTGCACCCCAGGTGTGCCCAGCACTTGGCCTTGTTGAATTTCATATAGTTGATCTTCAAGTCCAACTGCTGGCTACACAAAGGACCTCCCAAAAATAAAACCCTATGTATGAGAACATTGTCCAAGCACTTCTTGAACTCTAGCAGGCTCAGGGCTGTTCCCACTTCCCTGGGGAGCCTGTTCCAGTGCCTGACCGCTCTCTTGGAAAAGATTCTTTTCCTAATACTCAGTCTGCACCACCCTTGAATCAGGTTCATGCCATGTCTAATTGCTGGTCACCAGGGAAAATAGATCAGCACCTCCCCTGCTGTTCCCTCTTGTGAGGAAGCTGCAAACGGTTGCATCGAGAAAGATTTTGGTCTGCTACTTAAAACTCCTACAAGCACATACTTTCTGTTGGAACATAAAACAGATATTTAACCATAAAATAACTATTAAGATTCTAAATTTTTAAGCTGAGAACCACAATATCCCCCCAAAAGTCATATCCTGAAAAAAGTCCATTTTCACGATCAGGAAGCTGACGCTTTAGCCGATGCTGAGGAAAGGTGTGACCAGCTCATCAAAACCAAAATCCAGCTGGAAGCCAAAGTAAAGGAGGTGACTGAAAGGGCTGAGGATGAGGAGGAAATTAATGCTGAGCTGACAGCCAAGAAGAGGAAACTGGAGGATGAATGTTCAGAGCTGAAGAAAGACATTGATGACCTGGAGTTAACCTTGGCCAAGGTTGAGAAGGAAAAACATGCTACCGAAAACAAGGTAAGACTCAGAAGACATCACTCACACTCGAGAAAGAATTGTAGTCTGTTATACAGCATGAAGTTTTAAACCACATTTTTTATCTACGCTTGCTCCCTTCTTGTCAAAGGTGAAAAACCTTACAGAGGAGATGGCAGCTCTGGATGAGACCATTGTGAAGCTGACAAAAGAGAAGAAAGCCCTCCAAGAGGCCCACCAGCAGACACTGGACGACCTGCAGGCTGAAGAGGACAAAGTCAATACATTGACCAAAGCAAAAACCAAGCTGGAGCAGCAAGTGGATGATGTAAGCACATGTGCCTCCAGCGAGACAGGACAGGTATGGAGTTCAACCTGCCTGGCATTAATGGTGTTGTTGTGTTTAGCTGGAAGGGTCCCTGGAGCAAGAGAAGAAACTGCGCATGGACCTTGAAAGGGCTAAGAGGAAACTTGAGGGAGACCTGAAGCTGGCCCACGATAGCATAATGGATTTGGAAAATGATAAGCAGCAGCTGGATGAGAAACTGAAGAAGTAAGTGTGGTTGTGGAACACCTGAGTGCAGGTCAGGTGCATTTATTAGGTAGTGTTATTTGGATGTTAACACTGTGTTTCTGTATACTTTGTGCAAAGGAAAGACTTTGAAATCAGCCAGATCCAGAGCAAAATTGAAGATGAGCAACTTCTTGGCATGCAATTGCAGAAGAAGATCAAGGAGCTGCAGGCAAGTCTCTGGTCCTTCCCCTCCACCCTTCAGAAGGACATCAGTACAAGGAAGGCATGGGTGTGAAGGGTCTCGCATTTTCCCCAGGCCCGTATCGAGGAACTGGAGGAGGAAATTGAGGCAGAGCGAACCTCTCGGGCAAAAGCAGAGAAGCACCGTGCTGACCTCTCCAGAGAGCTGGAGGAGATCAGCGAGCGCCTGGAAGAAGCGGGAGGGGCTACGGCAGCTCAGGTTGAGATGAACAAGAAGCGTGAGGCAGAATTTCAGAAGATGCGCCGTGACCTCGAAGAGGCCACGCTGCAGCACGAAGCCACAGCTGCCACCCTGCGGAAGAAGCACGCAGACAGCACAGCTGAGCTTGGGGAGCAGATCGACAACCTGCAACGAGTCAAGCAGAAGCTGGAGAAGGAGAAGAGTGAGCTGAAGATGGAGATAGATGACTTGGCCAGTAACATGGAGTCTGTTTCTAAAGCCAAGGTACTGAAATACTTTAATTAGTACTTTGTAAACTATGTAATACTTATTTTTATTTTTATACTTAAACATCACTGGGTTACAATACAACTTTTTTCTTCTAATCTAATATATACATCCTGGGTTTATGCGTATTGTCCATAGATATGTAAATTGCATCTCCTGGCTACATTTTCTTGCTGTAAATATGGCAGAGTCCAGGTATTAACACATTTTTAAATGTATGTTTTCCAACTAGGCAAACCTGGAGAAGATGTGCCGCACTCTGGAAGACCAACTAAGTGAATTTAAAACAAAAGAAGAGCAGAATCAACGCATGATCAGTGATCTCAGTGCTCAAAGAGCTCGTCTACAGACAGAATCTGGTAAGGCAACAAATCTTTAGTTTGGAAATGGAAGAATCCTTTACATGGCTTTATTTCATTTCAAATTTATTTAATTTGGCCATTAAAAAAATTCTAAATACAAACTTTTCCAGGTGAATATGCACGCCAGGTTGAGGAGAAAGATGCTTTAATTTCTCAGCTTTCTAGAGGGAAACAGGCGTTCACCCAACAGATTGAGGAACTGAAGCGACAACTAGAGGAAGAGATAAAGGTGAAGACACTTCATGTATATTTATTTTATAAAGTTTATATATCATTGCTCTGTCAGTGCACACTCCTGGCTTCCTGCCCTAGATCAGTCTTTGGCTTGATATTTCCGTAAACAGTGTAGATTGCTATTTTCCTGGAAGATATTCCAGTGTTTAAATACCAGTATGAAAATATTTCCCAGAATACAGCTACTCCTAATTGCAATAATTTTAAATCCAGGCCAAGAATGCCCTGGCCCATGGCTTGCAGTCTGCTCGTCACGACTGTGACTTGCTCCGGGAACAATATGAGGAGGAGCAGGAAGCCAAGGGTGAGCTGCAGCGTGCCCTGTCCAAAGCCAACAGCGAAGTGGCCCAGTGGAGAACCAAATATGAGACAGACGCTATTCAGCGCACAGAAGAGCTGGAGGAGGCCAAGTATGTGGTGACAGGATGCAAACAAGCAGGAGGGGCAATGAAAATTCAGAAGGGACCTTGGAAACAAAGACCAAGATATTCAAAGAAATAAGTCATGGGGTTGCTTTAGGGAAGGATGACAGATGTGGTAAACTTTATCTATGGACCTTGTGGATTGGAGTCCACAGACTGCAAAATGACTAAGCGTGCAATTGTAAAGAGCATACTCATTCCTCTTTGATCACTAACTACGAGCTTTTTATCACCTCCCAGGAAGAAGCTGGCACAGCGCCTGCAGGATGCAGAGGAACACGTTGAAGCTGTCAACGCCAAATGTGCTTCCCTGGAAAAGACAAAGCAGAGGCTGCAGAACGAGGTGGAAGACCTGATGATTGACGTGGAGCGAGCAAATGCTGCCTGCGCAGCTCTGGACAAGAAGCAGAAGAACTTTGACAAGGTATTCTGGCCTCTGGCCCTGTGCTTCCTGGGCAGGGCATCTCCTCACAATTGCCACATCCATACTCACACCCTGTTGCTCCTCAGATCCTGGCAGAGTGGAAGCAGAAGTACGAGGAAACACAGGCTGAGCTGGAAGCTTCCCAGAAGGAGTCTCGCTCTCTCAGCACGGAGCTGTTTAAGATGAAGAATGCCTATGAGGAGTCCCTGGACCACCTGGAAACGCTGAAGCGTGAGAACAAGAACTTGCAGCGTAAGTCCCTAGCCCTCTGCTGCTGGCCAGGCTTTCCCCCAAGCTTGTCTACCCACCACTCCACACGCGTGAGTGCCCGCAGTGATGAGAAGAGACCTGTCAGCCTGGTGCGTCAGGGCCTTTCCCTTTATGCCCTATGTCTGACCATGCCTTGTTTCACCCTTCCCTACAGAGGAGATTTCTGACCTCACGGAGCAGATTGCAGAGGGAGGAA